GGGTCATTTAGCATGATCTGGGCGCAGACATTTACTGCTGTTACTTCAGCCTGGAAAACTATTGCTAGTGACTTCAGATTTATATTAACGGTCTTCTCTAAGTTCGTATCTCCCCCAAAGACTTTACATGAACTTATACGGCCATCATAAGACCTATGCTGACATGCGGTGCAGTTGTCTGGGTACCGAAAACGCAAAAATTGACAGCTATCCGCAAACTAGAACAAATTCAAAGAACAGCATGTCTCAACACAACAGGAGCCATGAGAACCACACCCACCAGAGCAATAGAAGTCATTTTTAGTCCCACTCCCCTTGATATTTACATCAAGGAGGTTGCTCTGATGATTAATATTAATATTAACTATTGGGGAAGCACCCCAAAACAGGCATATGGAAAAGCCTTTATAGGCAGGTCATGTCGCAAAAGAACTGGAGAACTACTCTTTATGAATAGGAACCAGTTAAAAGTGATAATAGGGTTCATGACTGGGCACGCCCCAGTAAAGGGACACTTGAACAAAATTGGCATGTACAATGTGTTGACTATGTCACAAGAAACCAGAAACGGCCAAACACATACTGTGCGAATGCGAAGCTCTAGATCGCAAAAGACTGGCACTTTTTGGACAACCCCAGGTTGATCCAACAACGTATAGAACTTACTTACCCAAAGATCTGTACAAACTTGTACAAGGTACAAAGGTGACAGAGTGGGTGCTATGAACTAACATGGAGTAAAACACAGTGTTATTCGGAGACATAGGCAGACGAGCCCAGGAGAAAAAAAAGACACCTGTCATTATTAAACATGACAAATCTTTGTACCTTATGCCACCATGTTACTGATGAATATCTTACAACGGGTACTACAACCTGAGTATCCTATTTGTTTCAAGTCCCTTATCACCCGTCTACAGACCTATAGCACTTTTACAGCTTTTTCTGCTGTTTTTTCTATAAAAGCTAAGCTTGTCATCGAGGAGGATTCCTTCCTTTGCCATTTTTAGTTGTTGTCCCCACATATAAAGCTAATTCATTCCTTGCAGGTTTCTTTTTCTTGTGAATGTAACAACATAGGTTTACACTAGGTTTCTCTTTTAGGCATCATCTGTCGCCCTATCTGACCTCCCAAATACGTGAATTCAGGGCCCTAGGACTTTTAGGCATTTTAAGACTAACAATGCTTTGTACTCGTACATCCTTATTTTGAATTTTTGTGGTTCATGCTAAAACTGCGGAAACAATCTATTTATATCAATAAATGTCCCGTTGATTGATGTACGGTTTCTTTTCAATTCAATAACCAGTGTTATTTGAAATAGTGCCGCTCTGTAATTTCTAAGTGATGAATGTGTGCCGATACGAGCGATCCATTCGTTAGTTTGAAATATTGGCCGTAGGAGAAAAACAAACGGTCAATGGACACAACTCATAAGCACATCGGTTGCTAGCCGGCCAGTGGGACAGCCCCGCTCTTGTTCTTGCTTGAGGCGTGCACCAGCCGATTTCTTCCTAATCCCTCGAAAAATAAATTATTACCAATTCAAACTTTTCTACGACGGCAACTTTTTACCGAAATGAACTATACTTCAGTTGAATTTATACTCCATCGTTCCACACATTGCACTCATTCTTTATGTTGCTCTAGGCGCTTTCTTCAAGACACGAACATCACTACTGTATTTTTAGTGCGTACAGACTTTTAACCCCGAGTCTACAAGGTGGAAATATTACTCTTTTATGTAGCTTTAAGTTGATGTATTTTATATTAACATCGGCAAAAATTTTATGTAGTTTAAAATACCGCATTCACTTGACTAAACAAGTCTAGTAAGTGAAATGAATAACAAAAAACACTAGACAATCATAATGTTTTGTCTTTTTTTGTTAGAAAAAGCTTTGAGAAACGTAATGAAATAAAACAACCGTACTTCACTAGATCTGCTTAATGACTAACTGTCATATCTTTATTTAAATTGAACACAGAACAAAACATTGACATAAAACACAAAAAGATAGTTACAATAACATACAATAGATGGAATTACACATCAGTAAATATAATTAACGAGGTAAATTAGGCAATTTTTAATATCACAACCAACACTTTTTAATTAATAAATACTCCAACAAAACGTGATCAAATAATTTAAAAGAAATAAGAACGTGAAATGGTCTGGTTGGAATACTTTAAAAAATACTAGATGACATAGAAAATATGGAAGATTAAGAAGGATGAATCATATGTATGTTTCTAGGATTGATTAATAATGAGCATCTTTTTTATGCTGAAATTAAAACACCCTGATTTAAAAACTTGAAACATCTTGTGAAATAGTACAACCTAATTTTCTCTTTTTAATTCGTTTTAATAAATGGTGATATTTAAAATGTGACAAAACGTTTCAAGTTCTGACTAAGCGATGCATGATGTGTGTATCACACATACTTTGATTTTCTTTTACTATACGGAGAATGGTCGCACTGCGCAGCTTTCTGAGTGCCTTTTAAAAGGAGAAAAAAAACTCCGCCATTTTGATCCCTTATTACGTGTTGCCTACATCTTGGCGCAATATTTTTAATAGGTGCGTTTTAATCGTCCGCTTCTGCTTCGGAATTGTCGGTTTTCTTGTTTTAATCTGACAGGTTAAAACGACTAAACCGACAATTCCGGAAGCAGAAACGGATGATTAAAACGCACCTGATATTTTGCTTGCTGCTGTCAGTGTCAGTGAATAATATTTTTGGAGTCACAGTTTATTGCTAAAGAATCAGTTAGCTCACTCGGACCAGTTGAAAGTTCCAAAATAACATCCACTTCAGGGATACAAATTCAGGATACGCAGAAGACTGCTGTTTTATTATAGGCGGTTGTCATATATTGTATTATCCGAGTTGCGTAGTGTATAAACTGGAACATTGAGATCAAAAGTGCCGACGCAGAGTGAGCGATCTGATTCTTTAGCTATAAACTATGGCATAGGAATCAAAATGGCCGCGCCCTATGTTGGGCGTGTCGGACCTCTTTCTTGCACCGTATAGCAATGAAAGTATGTGGTGTTTCATGATGGTTATGATGCAATACACTAGAATGCCTACCTTAGTAGGGAAACTGTCCTATTTATAACCTTGATTGGCGCTTAAATTCGGTTATGCTTAAACGTCATTGGTTAGACATGGGACGTGAGTTAAGTTGGCTTGTATGTAACGTTTCTTGTAGAAAATTTGCATGATTCGTTAGTGTTTAAATGCTAATGGGAAGGACTTATTTAAACATACACTTTAAATCTCTTCATTGCATTCGTACCTATAACTAATTCAAAATGTAATGTACGTTTTAACTTCATGAAAGTTTGACAAATGCTTTCAATTTTAAAAATCGCATCGTAATAAACGAAAACATAACTGCATCAACTATAACCATATTGTAGTCAGTTGAATTTACGTACAACATCGCTAACTTTACCCGATATATTTCATCTCAGAGTAAATTTTTGTTTATATGTTCTCCTTCTTCCGGGACAATCGCTTGTAACATCTACGCGGTTTAAAAATCGATCCACGTGCAACATTACAATGTAGTAGTTTGCTTTTAAAAATGCTGGGATTTAGTAAACCTTTTACTTCAAGTATTTCCCAAGTGATTGTACAAAATTTCTGGCAATAAGTAAAGTTTAAGATAATGTATTTTTCCCATAATAGCAAACAAATGGTTAAAGTTCTGAGCGACTTTTTCTTTAAGGCTAAAGGATAATGTACTAGTAAAAATCCTAGGGATTTAACTAAAATCTACCACTATACTTATGTTAGATTCTAGAAAGGTTGTTAAAAACGTTCCTGTAAACTGTCTTTCCATACAGCACAAACACATTTCAGAAATATTTCAAAAAGGTGTGTTATGTATAAATATTACGAAATATCCCAGAAACGTTTCTGAAATATGCCCGAAACGTAAAAATGTCCTGTAAATATAATATTTCACAGTAATATTTCTGAAATGAAAATTTGAAACCTTTTAGAAATATTAAATAATAATATTTCAGAAAAGTATTCTAGTTTTTTTTCTAAAATATTATGAGACTAAAAAAAAGACATTTAAAATATACATGTTTATTTAAAATACACAAAACTCAAACATTGATTCTTAAACAAAGAAGTAATAATTTTTAAAAGTTATTTCATAAAATATAAAGGCAAATCGCTTCATTTCCACCAATTCCTTTAAATTTAAATAATAATAATTTAAAACAAATAGGTTTTTTTTTTTAATAAATGCCCCAAGTAAAGAAACCTTTACGAATATTACAATCTGATCCAAGATGGCGCCAATAACACGGCAAGTTCACTGCTCACCTATTTCACTATGTTATAGTTGAGGATCATAAATTGGGGCATTTACTTTGAATTTGGTTGTATTTAATAACCATGAATATTAATTTTATTGTAATAATAAAAATGATTGACAGTGTACAAACCTAAATTACTTAAAATTATTAATGCGATTGGATAGATAATTAAAAACCTTTTAAATAATGTATCGCATGAACCACATTTCTATTTAAAAGAATTAGCTCTGACTCTCACACCGATAAAAGGAAAATCGTACAGAACGGACCTTTCCAAATAAAAATCAGAGGTTTCATGTTTTTTTTTCAGAAATTAACATGTTACGAAATACCGAATATATTCCTCTCAATTGCACCATACTATATATTTATATATTTATATTTATGTGACTGTAAATTCTTCAAAATTTAAATAAAAAGTGTCACGTTTTGTCATTATAATATAATGAATACAACTCTTGAATTGGCGATAATCTATAAACGCATAAGTGGTTGTTATTTTTTAACAACAAATTCCATGCTTCATGTGATTATGAATAAACAACATGCGTCTCATTGTTATACATGAAAATCTTGCGCCAGGAAAATGTTTATTTAATCTTTTCTATAAATATGTATACAATTCTAACATATTATTATTTTCTGTTACAGGACAACCGCCATATCCATTTATACAATTTGAAAAACGAAACGAAATTCAACGTTTCCGGCGAACTGGATATATTAACAAAGTGGAGTGGTCAAGAATATAAGCTAACTGCCCTCCACTCAAATAGGATTGTAAAATTCTGGACAGACTATGACATTCTGGATAAAGGGTACAAGCAGCATTCGAGGTTGGAGTTAAGTCCCTCCAATTGGATTGAATACGACCTCAATCTCTTTAACAAGAGTCTGGTAATAAAATGTTTCTTTCATGTTTGGATTTTCAGACGTTCCATATCCAAGAATTTTAAATGTCCCCTCTTTACCTCTTGGACATTTCCTCAATGAGATTTTCTGTAACCTTAATGTACCGGGCGGTTCAGTTTAATCTTTATGAATTTGCATTTATTTTTAACTTTTAAAGTTTCTGAATACTTGCAAGTAAAGAAGGCTTATATAATTATGAATCTATTAGTCTAATAGTTTTTCTTCGTTAATTATACCTAAAACTACATAATTTATGTAATCGTATTATCGAGGGCGGTGAATCTATGTAAATCTTATGTTATTGAAACAATTATATATCTAAATAATATCGACAAGTGTTAATTTTCAGGACGATACAACTGACGCACAGCAAGTTGTCATTAACGTGATCTACCCTCGTCGCAGTTTCACGGCTCAAGGTTTCTATAATGTAAGTGATTCAATTGTTTCAACTGACGTGTCTCTGGTGTACGACAAGGACAATAAGACCGTTCAAGCAGGACTGGATTGGCGACGTGTCTCCCTCTATCGCGAGCAATTATTATTTCAGATTAAACATCCTTCTTTCGAAAGGGTAAGTTACCTGGGAATATAGTTTAGTCATTTTAAGCTCTAAGGAATCAGACCTAGCCATTATGTGTATGGGGTGGTTATTAAAGGGTTTCTGCTGGTTATTGTCCGTTGATGAATAATCATCCAGAGATTTTGTGTAGTGATAAGAATTAAGGGCTTTAAATTCTACTATTAATACAAAATTATTGTATAAAAATTTAAATCGTTTATACGAGCTAAGTTATATACATTTATAGCAATTAAAAAAAGTGCTAGAAAAGAGCAAATTAATAAGAGGAAAGTAAAGTTATAAACAATCAACTTATACAAGAATAAAATACTACAATTTCTTAATTAAAATGTCATAGCTACAAAATAATATTTTTTTAATAACCAGTTCAAAAACAACAGTATAATATGCCTCAAGGACAGTGGCGGGGGCAAGACCCAAATTTTATGAGGGCAATATAAATTTTGCGAGGTCCTCTAGTGACGCAAGATGACGAATTTTATATAGATATAGATAAAAGTAACTGTAAAATTAGTATTCATTTTAACTAATATTAAGTAATAACTGATAGTAAAGGAAACAGAAATTTCCTGCTTTTACCTAAGGTGACTATTTTTCTTTCGTTTGACTGAACGCAGAACAAAAATATAACATTGATGAACTTTAGAGAGATGAGCACTTTTTTTACCTCGCGAAAGATAAATACAAAAATTTTGTTAGATCTCCAAAGATAAATACAATAAATACAAAAACAGAGAACTCACATATTATGTTTTTTGTCTTATTTGTTACGTTTCAGTAAATTATGTATTACATTTCTGGATAATAATGGCGTTTTGCTGGAAAAGTACGGTGGTTTGCTATACAAGATCAAATGCTGAACAGACTTTGAAAATGCTGTATAATACACTGAAATGTTGTATGGTCACTTTATTTTAGCCTTACTGATCTTAATAACTATCCTAATTTAATTTAGATCCCAGATAGCACAAAGTCGTCTTAAAGACATTTTTAAGACGTCTGGTATTTCCTGAAAGACTTCTTCAAGACGTCTGATGTTACAAAAGGGGACGTCTTTAAGACGTCTTATAGCTTATATTGGTCTATAGAGCTTAAAATAAGCCATGAATAAGACGTCTTTAAGACGATTTATTAATGATTTATAATGGTCTTGTAAAGCCTTAAATAAGCCATAAATAAGAGGTATTTAAGACGACTTATTAATATATTATAATGGTCCTGTAAAGCCTTTTGGCGGCTATAACCGCGTATACAATAAAATAATCAATAATTCACAATCCACAATAAGCTTTTTGGCTTGGGCTTGAACGTAATGTTAAGTCAAACGTCAAACTTCACTTCATGTTAAATTTGAATTATGTAAACCGTGCAAGTTTCCGTCCGACTAAAAGACGTTTGTAAAACGTCTTAAAGAAGTCTGTAAAACGTCTTAAAGACGTCTTTGGGCTCTCACAGAAATATATGGATTTGGCGAGACGTCTTTAATACATCTTAAAAACGTCTTTCAGCTCTCACATTAATACGCCTGAATTAAAGCTTTTGCCAGACGACTTATAAGACGTTTTAATAACGTCCTAGGACATTGAGACCAAACCAAGACACAAAAACGACGTCTTTCAGACATCGTGCGCTATCTGGGATGCTGTATCTGTTTCAATCGATAAAACTGCAACAGCCGAAAGTATTTGCTGACATGTAGTTCTTCAATACCTTTTATTAGTTTTAATTTTGAAAAGCTTCTTTCAGCGGTGGCTGTATGATAGTAACACGCGATAATAGCTTATACCATAAATGTAATATGATAAATTCCAAGCTGAGCATTTCGTTCAAAACCGAATAACAATCACTTAGTTTATCTGAGTATTCCGCGATTGAACATTTAATGTATTCAACAACATTATCAAATTGCAGTAATATAAGCCGCACTGCCTCAATTCTGCTTAACCACCGTGTGTCTGGTAAAGGCTTTACAGTAAGCTTTAATTTGTCTTTGAATAATTCCCATATTTTGCTGGTTCTTGAAAATAGCAAATACATTTTCTGAATAAGACAAAATATGTTATTGCTACCGCAGAAGAATTATCTGCTCATCTACCGACAGCAGATTTTAATTATGACTCTAGTGGTTACGTCTTTAAATAGCCCTAGCTAAATATTGTTACGCAGCACCTGCAGTATCCTGCGGCTATTATAGGAAACGTACAGATAAAAAAAGAAGTGGAATGTTACCCATCGCCCTACAGTGTGCTGCGGTCGTCCTAAATAAAAGAAGATAGAATAGTCCAAAAATGCCTGGAAATGTCATTACCCGTCAAGAATATTCTAGACGACAGTTCGACAAGCTATATAAGGATGATCCTGACGTCAGTTTTCAGTTTTATGATAGACGTTACATGTTAATGTTATCAGTTGTATAATTGTTGTTAAAGTTTTGGTAAAATAAATTGCGATACCAAAAACCTGTGTAACAATATTTTCATGAGTTAACGAAAGCTGCATAAACGTTTGAGACGCGAGGCCCTTCTGACCGCGAGGCAGTAGGCATGACCCACGTCGCCCACACCTTACGCCGCTTCTGCAAGGAACAGTATTAAGTTTATACCTATTTATAATATACATAAACGTAATACTTACCACAAAAGTGCAGGAACTCTAAGTAGATTTGCAGATTATACAACCAATCATCTTTGATAAGATATTTTACCTTCAAACACACCAAAATGATGGCTTATTCGATTTTGCTCGTCAAAAAACTTAATTATACCGACTTTTATGTTTATTGTTTGATAACTATCTGAGTAAGAATTAATATATTATTCTCAGTTATTTAACTATAGAATCTGCAGGCAAATACCCATTCCTTATTATTGTATACCGATTATGATTAGAAAGAATTAAGATGAAAAGTAGAAACGGATATGAGTTCATTAGAATGTTTTAATCAAAGAGTTATAACCATTAATTTTAATTAAACCTGTTTTTTTCTTTTAGCTGCTACTCCAATTCTCTACCTTTATATAATTCCAAACAAATGTAGCATTACGTCATTAAAGACTTATACCTCCCAATCTCGGAAATAACTTTTTTAATTTAACTCTAATTGTCGCTCGAGTTTCCAGTGTCAACGACCTACTTTATTATATATCATCTTTGATTGCTCACTGCCATTTTTTGCTAATAATTGTTTCGGTAATGTAATCTCTAATATTTAAAAGCATTTTCGAAGTGAAGTTCTGGGTTACTTAAAAGAATAGGAAAAAAAAAGTTTAAATATCAGTCAAACATATCGTCTGATTCTTCTTTGACGGTGTCAGTCAGGAATGTCTAGAATTTAATTCTGGACGAAAACGATATAGGGTTAAATTTAAATTCAAGTAATTCGAATTCCAACAACATCTGCAGGTTTTTATAATAAGTTGAAAAAGTCAAAGAGAAAACAATAATAGCGCATTTTCAATTTTTAAGAAGCAGAGGAAGGTAGAAAAATTTAAATTATTTCTCCAAAATTATTAATGTAGGTTATTATGCGACTAGTAAAAACAAATATAAATTTTTTTCGGATACACCTTCAAACGATGTGAACTAAAGAGATGGCGTTTCTTTTATTTTAAATAATTTTAAACTGTTTGTATTCGTCCCTATAATTTTAAAAATTGACTGCACCTGAAGATGGAAAAAATTTATCTTTTCGAAACATATGTAGTGTGCTAAACAATAAAAATAAAAACATTTGACTGATAAAACCAAGGAAAATTTTTATTCATATAAAATTCTACTACGGTCAGGAAATTATCCTTATTAAAAAAAAAAGTATTTGTTGAAAACCTTCCCAATTAGTTTTCCAATTTATTTCTTTTTCAATAACATTATCACTGTATAGTTTGGTAAAATTTTTCCCAAAATAAAGAAATCCAAAAGATCTGGAATCTTATTTGGATCGGTGGGCCAATAGGTGGGTTTTTCAGACGATTGGTATGTACAACCAAGTTCTGATGCAACTTGGTATATAATCACAAAGTCTTTTGTTTTTAATATTGCGATATTAACTCTACTAATATCTAGTATAGGATGAAATCTCGGCAAATACCATACATAGTATTGTTTGAAAATTTATTAACTCGATGTTTCATACAATTATCTACGCTTCAGTAAGGTAATAATGGTAGAGAAAAGCGTCCAATTCATAGAGAATTTCAGATATTAAACGTTTGTGAAATCGAACAATTACGTGACGAGTTTAGGAGCATTCTTCAAGCACCGCGACCAGAAATTGCTGCGTGGACAAAAAGAAACAAAGTAACTATGTGATGATATACTTGATTATGTGCAATCAATTAATAATTAGGGTACCTACTTAAACTAAGTGTTTATTAGTTTGAATAAGGCTGTTATATTATCATAGTCTCAAAGTAGTTTTATTTCAATTGCTAATCAGATGAAAGATTTTTCATAAAAATATAAGAAGGTAGTTTCAAAAGATTATCAATTGTTTTTTAGTTATTAAGAAATAAAGTTGCGGTAGGTAACTCGATAACAAAAAACAATTTGGATTCTTTTTTCTACAAAAATATTCTCCATCAAAAAAGTATCAAGAATGTAACAATTTTGAATAAAATCGGCAATTTTTAGTTTTGTTAAAATATATAACTTTTATTAACAATAATAACTCTACTCTTATTTAACTAATATCTCTTTATATTAACAGAGATATCCATATAGAAACTTGACACTTTATGTATACTAGTATACAGCCTCTAATTAAAACGTCCATATTCCTTTGGTGCGGTTTACCTTGCGCCGCTGCTTTTTCACGACCGAATGTTACAATTTCTGTTCTGAGGTTTCGATGTGTTTCACCTTTTTTCGTTCTCCCCATTCGCACAAAAAATGTTCGAATGAAAGCAATGAGAGACGGCCAATTTTAAAGGCTGAATGCTCTTTTTAATAGATAGACTCGGAAAGAATGTATTTTTATTTTTTAAAAATAAATACGTTATTTATGTGAGCACTAAAATAAATTGTCGCCAGGTTCAAGATGCAAAGAAATTGCAAGGGTGTACATATCGACCAAAAGAAGGCGTATCGAGTTCTAATAGTATAATCATAAATTGAACAATGCTGGTATTCGAGGAATACTCTTAATATTCAAAGTGCGATTTTTTTCAATTATTTTTATTGAACTGACCTTTACAGGAGTAATTCAATACTTAATTTAAACCCCACCTAATTCTCTTAAACCCACCAATTTTTGAAAACGGCCATAATCTAAACTACACTTTCTTAAATATTATTAATTAAGAAATGAGGCACATTTCCTTATTTTATAATTCTAATAACACAAAGTAAATATTTCCGTAACAGGTCAACAGGTTCTTATCTGCGGCTCATGCTGTAAATATCATACTTGTAGGAAATGAATTCCGTTCCTTGCCTATTTTTTCACTGCTGAAAAAAACTGTTTCACGATGACTTTATATCAAGGATTTTATGTATATTTATGATGTGTTGAGCTGACTGCAAATAACAATTAAATTATTATGGACGCCAGGGAACAAAGGAATTGGGGGAAATGAGATTACCGATAGTCTTGCTATAGAAGGAGCAATGACTCCTTTTATTGATCCTGAATCCTTTGTAGTGGGATAAGTAAAATCAACATCATGGATGGATGGATAGATCCCAAAATTGGAGAAAGTCTAAGTGAGAAAACGTTTCAGGCCAAAGACATGTGAAAATGTTCAAAGTTACTTCACCTGACTGTGCTGAATTATTCTGGGACCTTTTTATTAATTTTATATAGGAAGGAATTATTTATTTAAAGTAATAGAATGTGTGAAGAGTTATATGCGAAAGCAGGAAAATGACAACATATAAGAAGAAGTTTGCCATTTATTCGTCCTTTTTAGCCATTTAGCAAACAAAAAGAACATTTATGGAATCATCTCAGTGTCTGTCTGTGTATTTACGTAGACAATTGAAATTTGAAATATTGGTAGTAAATAGTGGCCCCAATATAAGTGTTAACTAAAAAAGTTTTTTTTTTATCTTGGGGATCAGGTTTGGGAGTTAAATTCCAGTTCCGTTAAGAACAAAAGCACAGCTAGATGAAGAAGTAGAACTACTTGTGTCCAACATAGAGCAAGCAGCATGGGATAATATGTCACCTATTGTTCAGCGAACAAAAGAAAATAACTATCCTAAAGAAATAACGGACCTAATTTTTGCAAAAAAGAAAATTAAGGAGGAAATAGAAGCAGACCAGAGCTCCATCAGATAAAACCAAACTTAACAACGCCATCCAGTGGTTAAAAATAGAGATAAAACGAATCAAAAATGAATCTATTTGTGAGTACCTTAGTGAGTTGACAAACGATAAATCCACTAAATATTCTCTATGGAAAGCCACGAAGCCACTTGCAGAATGTTCCAATCATCTTGTCTACATATAACAATTACTATTATATAAACAAGCTGTTAAACCAATTTGGACCTATGGCGTTCAGCTCTGGGGTTGTGCCAGCTACAGTAATATTCTAATAATCAAGAGATTCCAGAACAAAGTATTAAGGAACATTGTCTATGCTCCTTGGCACGTTAGAAACAGCGACCTTGATTGAGACCTTTATTTGGACACTGTTGACCAAAGTATCACCAGATTCACTAAGAGTCAGGAAAAACGGCTCCACCAACATATGAACGTTGAGGCGATCCAACTTCTTGACAACATGAACCTGACAAGAAGACTCATGAGAGTTAAACCTTTTGAGTTAGTCAAGTGACTATGTTAATAAGAAAGCAAAGCATTGTGCGGTTTAATGTTATACGTTAGTTTAGTGTATTTGTAAGTTATTAGACCCTACGGTATAGTAGAGAGTAGAACTTAAGTTTTTAAGATAGTAACCCTAGTTAAGTTAAGTTATAACAAAATTACTCATTGATCAAACCTTTAATTAAATTGTAATATTAATAAACGTCCCTTTTGGAGTGCTTTTTCACAAAAAAATCTTAGGGTGGTAAATTCCTGGTTATAAAAAATTGTCTGATATCATCTTGTGGGGTATTAAATGAAAGCTCTTTGAAGCACGATTTAACACATGTACAATACATTCTTGTTACTCCCAAATTTTCTTCAAAATAACGTTAGGAAAAATCTGAAAAAAATCTAGTACGAAATTATCAAGATTTTTTTTATTTACAAAAAAATAAGCTCTACTAAACCGAAACTTTAACTTATTTTAAAACAACTACGGTACGGAACACATTAACACACATCACATATATTGGAAAATAAATTATTTTGGTCTACAAATTGTTTACATTAAATGGCTTAGCAATTAATTATTGAAACATGGAATAGGTGCGGGAAAATGTATATTATGACCTGTTTCTGCTTAAAATATCCATATAACGTTATGCGACAGTTTGTTCAGGTGTAGGTAAATTTCATTTGTTTTTTCCAGGATGTAACGTTCGACAGTGAGTATGGATACGATAAATCCTCAATCGATGGGCAACTGCTGGTGAAATATTCATTAAACCCAGAGCAAATGTTAACGTTGCGCGGGAAAGTAAATGATAACTCTAACTCATTGACCTATAACTACTCATACAATGTGTGGGCAGAGCACGCCGAAACAAATTTGAATTTAAATTCCAGAGGCGACTTTTACTGGAACCCCAGCGCTTTTGGCACCGAGCACATTACGAATTATCAGCGTTCGTATTTGCCGCTATCTAAATCTGAAACATTGGCGAGAGTAAGTCTGGATAACAACGAAATAGAATTAAAGGTAAGTTATGTTTCGTTTCAATTTTAAATTTACAATAGGGCCAGTGATTTTAAAAGTATATTTTACAGAAAGCTGATGCAATTGCCAAAACGTTCTCAGCAAATTATTGAGATATATATTTAACACATAATTTATTTAACAATTTATTGATACTAATTTATATCACATTTACTTTAACGATGTTCTCAGAGCTATGACTCGACTTCCACTGACTGACTTCCTGTGCAACACAGTCCGTTTATATATAAATTGGTGTATGCGCTAAATTATTTCCGTTCCCACCATTTATTAGACAGGCCTCTCTGGCAATTTTTTTGAATTTACTTCTACAAAGGCTAGATTCTAGTACATTCCCAAATGAATATACAGTATGGTTCAAATGAAAGGAGTAAATTCATTATAATGGAAGTAGTTGGTTTTTTGAAATTTTGTTTACTAAAAGCGCAATTTTTTAAAAAGAATTTAAGTTTCCCCCACTTCCCATTTTGGGGTAGTGACGTCATTGGCAATTTTTTTAAATAGTAACCCCAATATTTTTTTCGTGATTTTGATAGATCTTGCAATTTTCTACTCGGAAACATAATATTTGAAATATCTTACATAACAATTTTTTTGAATAAAAGTCATTTAAAGATCAGACACAAATTTTATTTTGAACGAAAGATAATTATTTGTAATTAAGTGCTTAATCTAACAAAATAATAATAATAATAAAAAATAATTTAATGACAATTTCACAGCAAAATAAATAAAAAATATTCTACTAAATTAGGTGTTAGGTGTCCTCCACCGACGTCTTGCCTTTTATTAATACAATAAATATTGTTATTATTATTCAGTAAATACAACCAAATCTATATCAAGTGCTCAAAATGGTGACCCTCAGCTAAAATACAATGGGAAAGACGTGCAGCGATCTCTTCTTGGACGTTCTCCAAAATTTCCGGAGTTATGTTTGCAATCTCAATACGTATCCGTTCTTTGTGATCATTGATATTTTGTGGTCTATTTTGGTACACTTTACTTTTCAAGTATCCCCATTAAAAAAAATCAAGAGGAATTAAATCGGGTGACCTAGGAGGCCATTCTATTGATCCTCTTCGACCTATCCACCGATTTGGGAAGAGGTTGTCCAAGTAGTTTCGCACCAAGACAGCATAGTGTGGAGGCGCACCGTCTTGCTGTAGCCACAAATCATTTTTGTTTGGGAACAAATCGGTTCAATTCGGGGATCAAGAAGTTTTGAATAAATTCTAAATATCGTGGACCTGTTAAGGTTTCTTCGAAAAAGTATGGCCCAATAGTCTTATTATCTATTATTCCCGCCCAAACATTCACTTTTTCTGGGTATTGAGTATGATACTCTTGCATCCAGTGTGGATTTATGGTAGCCCAATACCGAGAAGTCTGACGATTGACATGACCGTTTAGTAAAAATGTAGATTCAAAAAAATATATTTTTTAAAAACATTGGATTTCTGTTGTTTTTGTCCATTATAATTTCACAGAATTCAACTCGTTTATCAAAGTCATCTTCCATAAGTTCTTGTACTTAAAGTAACTTTGTAGGGATGCTACTTTTGCTTCTTTAGCGTTCTAAGAACTGTTGAATTTCCCAAGTCATTATCTAATGCTACTTGCCGTGAACTGGTATGGGGATTATCTTCAAAGGCTAACAGAATATCCAGTTTCTTGTTTTCGGAAATTGGGTTTCTGCTACCTTTAGTGATGTCTTTCACATGACCCGTTTCTCTGAATTTTTTCTCAATTTTACTCACAGTAGATCAGAGCATCACCAAATTGGTCGAAATTGGCTCACATTACAATATTTTACCCAAACTACTTAATCTTCTTTTGCTTGAAAGACTTAATAGAGTTTGATGACTGCTTGGTGCTTACTTAGAAGGGCAGTATAATACTGTGAAATGTAGCATTCTGAACAGAATAATACCTGTACGAGACTAACTTTAATTATAAATTTATACATTAATTTTTATAATTTTACGTTCCTTTGTTTTGTTAGATGTTTTAATATTAATTTAATCCTTTAAAAATGTGTGCTTTGAGCGTCTGTGATCGGATAAATTTAAGATAGAGGGTTAGGAAGGTACAGTTTGTTTTAGAACGCCTTGAGCTGTTCTTGTTGTTGCATTTGATGGAAAAGCGGCTTTGAAACATAATTTTTAATAAAGAAATCCAAAAATATCTACAAAGATGTTGAATTCTTGAGTCCACCTGTAGGTACACTTCGCAAAAAGTTTTTATATTTTTACGTGGGCCCAGTCTTTGAGTATATTTTCTATACCTTAAAAAAATCTTTTGAAAAAGTTTTCAAAGTAATTCAACGGGGCCCTGAATCTGACAGGTTTATATTATAATTAATTTTTTATGTGGGTCCAGAAAAAAATGTTTCCTTTGTATTAAGTTTCTCTTTAGCACGTTGTCGTTGTCTTAAAAAAAGCGTATAACAAAACATAATTGAGATCAAATATGATTTGTTCCAGGTCAGTTGGCTAAAATGCTCCCGTAGGTAAAAAAATTCTCTTCAAATTTTTTATCCAATTATAACTTTTTATCAGTTTGGAAAAGTATATGATTTATATCCAATCTACCTGCATTTGATGATACATCCATTTACCTTCAAGGCTTATACGAGTATACCAACCATTATCTTCAGGTTTTTCTTTTTATAATTTCCTTTGTAGGTACTTCAACAATGCAAAAGATGTTTTCAAGTCCCGATCTTTTGAAATATGGTTTTCGAAAGGTGTCACAATTTAAAAATTACTATTTTGGAGATGACTTTTTGCTTCCTTTAGTTATTTAACATTATTTTTCTATATTTGTACAATATTCATGCTATGCATTCCTCTTGTATAGTACCTAAATTCTTAAAAAAAATAGAATATATATACAGGGTGGCCCATTAGTGTGTGGAAGTCCAATATCTCCGTTTTATTTTAAAAATACGAGAAAATGTCGAATACAATTATTTATTATAAAAGGGAAAAGTATTAGATTTCAGCTAGAGGTTAACAGCTAGAACGGAGAGCTAAAATCTAATATTTTTCCCGTGTATAATACACTATTTTTTTTGTAACGGGAAAAACGATGATTTAATTTAAAAAAAATATTCTAAAATATCTACCTTTACTAATGTATATATATCTGCGAAAAAAAGTACTCACTTTTTCCTGGAAAACGTAAAAAAGTGACATTTTGTTACCTAACAAGAGAGATAAAATGTCACAGAAAAAAAGTTTTATTTAAAAAATATTTTCCAAAAAAGCAAGACGAAATAATTTTGTTTTTCAAATGGAAAACCCCGTATTTTAATTTTATTTTTGAATTCTACAAAACAATCTAGGTATCACAAAATAATTCAAAATTCTCAAGTATTTTTCTTGTATTATTACGGTTCATATCCGACATTGGACTTTCATTGTCTATTATCAAACTACTGACTAGACCTAATATATTTGTATACCGATATTAAATTTTGAGAATTTTATTCTTTGATCATTCCTTTGTAATGTTCAAATAATCATCATTGTTTTCCGTACAATCTCTTTTATGTCATCTACAATGCCGGATCTCATTTTTAAACAATTAATCGCTTCACTGTTGGAAGCCAAAATATTAAGTCATCTGGTTATTACAAAGATATATACACGGTGTATCACAGCAATGTTTCCTAAGAAAATAAAGAACATTTAAAATTTGAATGCAAGTAACGCCATAAAGAGAAAAATGGTTTCAACTTAATATATCACTTTTCATGTACAGGCAAGAACCACAAAACTCAAAGAGGACTGGGATTCTTAAAAATCTCACCTCAGAAAATACAAAAAAATCGTCAGACAAAAACAAAGAGATGCATAAAGATCCTACTGCGAAAAAAATCGAAGATTTCCCGCAGGCAGCGAGACTTCAAAAAGCTCTCTCAAAAGATCCACACCAAAGCATTGGCGCGCTAAATCAAAGAGGATGGCACGAAAACTGCCAACCTCGAAGATAGCATCAAACTTCTGCTATCAACACACTTTCCTGACTCGGTCATAACAGACATGGCCGACTGGGCAGAGAAATAATACAATCCATCTGTCTATGATTGGCAAACTACCAAACACATTGTAGACGATGAAAAAATTAGATGGGCAATATCCAGCTTATCTCGATTTAAATCGCCAGGACCTGATGAAATCTATCCAGCCCTACTTCAGTGGGGTCTGGAGTAACTCACACCGCATCTGGTGAGTATATTCAGATTCTCGTTGGCTCTGAGGTATATCCCCAAAAAATGGAGAGAGGTAAAAGTAATATTTATACCCAAACCTGGAAGGATGGATTACACTGTCCAAAAACATACCGACCAATTAGTCTGACTTCGTTTTCCATGAAGACATTGGAAAGACTATGCGAAAGGTACATAAGGGATGCGATGATTACAACAACACCACTACACCCAAACCAACATGCATACACCCTAGGTAGATCTACTGAATTAGCCCTTCATCTAGTTGCTGGCCGGATAGAAAAATCCCTGGACAATAAGAAGACCGCCTTGGGTGTTTCCATAGACATAAAAGGTGCTTTGATAAAACCACCTTCCCAAAGATAATACACTCACTAACCAACAGGAATGTTCTACAAATGGTTAGTGGGTGGATACATAACATGGTCTCAAAGCGAGCAGTAAACATAAGTGTAGAAGATGTAAATATAAGAGGCTTGGTTGCGAGGGGATGTCCACAAGGAGGGGTACTATCACCTCTACTGTGGAATATGGTCCTCGACACACTCATCAGCCGCCTCAATAATGACAGTCACAACACAATCACATATGCAGATGACCTGATAATTCTGCAAACAGGGCATTTTGAGAACATACTCTGCGAAAGAATGCGCAAGTAGCTCTAAAAATTATAGAACAGAGGTGCAAGGACCATTCACTGTCTATCAATCCTAAGAAGACAGAAATGGTCCTTTTCACAAGAAATAGGCTGGCTCACGAGCTAGGAGGTGCCTATTATCTTAGGAGGATATACAGTGAGCCTAATGAAACCTAAGTGCCGTGGGGGTAACCCACCCTCCACACGTCACAGATACAGATGTACAGTGTGATTCACTAAAGGTGGGTCTGGCAGTGTATGTGTACTAATTTGAAATACGTATTATCCCTTTGGTGAACGAACTGTTTGAACTTATTCTATTTTGATGTTAAATATGCCTATAGAAGTATTTTTAACAACATTGTACGCTATTACTGTCATTGTAAGCTATTGTCATGATATACGCTATAACCTCATTGTACGCTATTACCGTCATTGAACGTTAATACCTTCATTGTATGCTATTACCGCTCAAAGGTTAAAACCTAATTAGTCAGAAATGATACACAGTTGCAGTACTACCTTAAATTGACATACGTATTAACCTTTTGGTGGACGCGCTGCGGTGTTGATGTGAAATTTTATTTTGATATCAGGTATATTTTTATAAGTATATTTGACAACATTGTACGCAATTACCGTCATTGTAAGCTATTAACATCATTGTACGCTATTATTGTCATTATACGCTATTATTGTCATTGTACGCTATTACCGTCATTGCAAGCAATTACTGTCATTGTACGCTATTACCTTCAAAGGTCTAAACTTAATAAACATAGTTGCCGCACGAGTTCGTTCAATATGTAACTCTGAAAAACACTTTGTAGAAAATATTACAAATATAAGAGTCGCAACTAAATGTACTAATTGTGACCAATTGAGCAAGAGTAAAATTCTTTCCTTAATGAACTATGCATAGTTTATGAACGGCTTTAAAACTGAAAAAGAAGTTGGATGCAGAATATGCTGCAGAAAGCCAATCCTTAAAAGCCTGAGCTCCAACTGAGTTGATTCAATCCATTTACATGTCAGATAATAAAAATAATACCTGCACACGTTTTGGAGACGTGCATGTGAAAATTACAGAGAGTTAGCATTAGAGTGAGCAGAAAACGAATAATATCAGCGTTCTTTAAAATTTCAGTTTTCTAGATTTAGTAGTTTTGGCTGTGCGTTGATATATCAGTCAGTGGGTCAGTCAGTCAGGACAACCGATTTTATATATAAGGATATATGTGGGTGGTTATTTATTTCTTTTAAATGTTTTATATTATATTTACCTAGGTTTCTTGAATTTGTTAGGGCCATTCTATATTTATAAGGGTATATTCCTTTTCCAAAAGCAGAGAAAGTACGGAGATTGTAAGGGACAGTTTATTTTCTTTTAGATATTAAATATCAAATATAATCTGAAGAGAACAATTTCCTGTCAAAGAGCAAGTTCATAATACGTCAGCTTTAATAGCGCTGTCTATAGAAATAACGTATAAACTGAAAAGATATATTTGTTACAGAGAAACAATATAGCAAGTGGAAAATCTTATTTCTGGGGAAGATACGGCGGAGAATATCCAGTTTACACGGCAAACATGTCAGCCATCTACGATACTAATAACACGGAAGGGGAATTTTACATTAATTTCAAGAAGAAGTTACTTTACTTAAACCTCAACATGACAGAAGGTAAACTATGATGAATATCACTTTTCATTTAAACTACGATGTTGTTTTCGCTTTGTGACGTTTACATTTTTTTTTTTCGGAAAATGAAGGCTTTTGTTGTCAAATTAAACTCGCTGATGACATGACATAACATTAATTCATCGCTTACATAAAAGCTGACATGTTATATAATAATAAACGTGTATATACCTACCATAATGTATTCTTAACCGATTTTATTTTTTGCATTGCTTTCGATGTATTACTTTAATAAATTTTATGGTTTAACTTAACACATACATAGATTAAAAAATAGTAAACCAAATGTCAATGTCAATTTCAATATACATTTTAGAATTAGTTTTGGATAATTTACTGAATAAATTCTTTCCAAATTGCTTAAAAATTAGTGTATTGGTTTAAATTTGAGCATGTTTTTTAATTTCTGTCAACATTTTTAATTAATACTTTACTATATATTTAAAAGAACGAGTGGTATTTGAAAAGATAATTTTTTCGAATCATTTTGTATGAAAAAAAACACAATAAACATATTTGGAGCAGACACTACTCTAAAAGTTTCTACAAGTGTTTATTAAATATACTATTTGTTTACTTTATAGTAATATAATTTCCGTTAATTGCCTAAAAAAGATTAATATGGCAACATCGCAATTACTGCATTAGATAGAAGTACCAGACATGCGCAAAACCACGGCGATATAAAGTAGATTACTTTTCTTTGAGTTTGACATTTGTCAAATTTTAAAGATTTTATTGTAATTTCCGTGTCTTAAACTATAAAATGGAATATGATCTACTTAATTTAGCTAATTTAGAACTGTTTAGGTATTCAAAAAAATTTAGATTAGTTTTATGTGTTTTAAACGTGATTTAACATAAACAAAAACAGGTTAGATTAGATTACATTAGGAGCTGGACGTTACTTGTCCTTGTCCACCGCGACCTTTTCAGATCTATTGTGGGACTCCGCTTGTTCTAGAGTATGTCGTCTAGCCTGGTCTTTTTTATTAGACTTAGTAGCTTTGACAGTGGCTCCCGCATGTAGTTGCATGCATTTGGCTTTTCTTCGCCCAATGTTAGAAACCTCATTCCAGCCAGGCCTTCACATTGGCACAAGACGTGGAATGATGTTTCCTCCTCTTCTTCTTCACAGAACCTGCACAAAGTTGCTTCTTCTGCTGGATTTATGACATTCATGTGCCTTTTGAGGCGACAGTGTCTAGTAAGAAGGCCTACTGTTATCCTAACGATCTGACGCTTTTGATCCAGTAGGTCTTTCGTGAACTTGGTCGATGGTTCCTTAATGAACTGTTTGGCCTGTCTCAGTCTTGGATAGTTGTTCCACCATTCCTGAGACTCTTTTTGCATCCATTGTGTAATGGATGCCTTGCACAATGCCTTAGCAACTTCGCAGAAGGGTTCGGGGCCTGTCATGGCCTTATCTGAGCCTTTTCGGGCTAATTCGTCGGCTTTTGCGTTGCCCTGATATCCTTCATAACCTGGAACCCAGGCTATGGTCACCTTATTTTGACTACTTAGCTCTGCCAGGTCTTCTAGGCAGTCTTTTACCAGTCGTGATTTGATTTCTGGTGAGTGAATTGCCTTTAGAGCTGCTTGGCTATCAGAGTATATGGCAATAGTTTTGCCTGATACTTGCTGATTTAATATTTCTCTTGCACAGTGTTGTATGGCTATTTCATTATCCTGGAACACTGTTGCATATTTTCCTAAACTCAGCGAAATCGTTGTTTTCGACTTGGGTCCATAGATTCCAGCACCGGCTCCTTCCTTGGTTTTTGAACCGTCTGTGTACCAGACGAGTTCAGCCTGTACGGGAGGTCCCTGTTGCCAGGATTCTCGGGCTGGTATTTGAATTTGAAAATGTCTTTCAAATTTGTATGTGGTTTTGGCTCTATCAGTAGGCATTGCTAGAATATTATCCCTTTTTACTTGCTGATATAGCCTTATGTGGTCGGCGCTATGTAGTTGGCTTATTGGATTTTGTCCCTGCATTAGCCTGTGAATAGCTCTCCTGGTTTCTCCTTGTATGAAGATGTGCAGTGGCGTGAGATTTAATAATACCTCCATTGCTGCAGTCGGCGTAGTGCACATAGCCCCAGTAGCACTTAGACAGGCAAGCCGCTGAATGCTAGTGATTTGGCCTATTGCACTTGCCTGCGCAGTTTTGGTTACCCATGCCACCGCACCATAGGTTATCATGGGCCTTATTACCCTTGTGTATAACCATATGGTCATTTTTGGGTTTGGACCCCAGTTTTTTCCACATATTCTTCTACAGCTTACGAGAGCTATTGTAGCTTTGTATGTGAGTTTTTTGAGATGTTGATTCCACGTCAGCCTTTGGTCAAATATGACTCCGAGGTATTTGGCTTCTGTGACGAATGGAATGTTCTTTAGTACTAGTGTTCTTAGTCCTGTTAGTACCCGTTTTTTTGTGAAAGGTACAATTGTTGTTTTTTGTGCGTTAATGGATAATTGTTCCTTTTTGCACCAGTTGTTCACTATGTTTAGAGCTGTTTGAGATCGCTCCGAGACTGTGCCTGCAAATCGTCCTCTGACGATAATTGCTAGGTCGTCTGCATATCCTAGGCACTGGTAGACTTCTTTGGACAATGTTTTGAGTAGGTCGTCCACGAGAACTGACCACAGCATTGGAGATAATATTCCTCCTTGTGGGCAGCCCCATGTAACTTTTGCCTGTATGGTTGCCTTTCCTAGAGTGGATAAAATAATCCTGTTCTCTAGACAGGCAGTGATCCATTGGCATATTGTAACTGGGACGTTCCTCTCTTCTAGAGCCTTGGTTATGGACCTGGTTGAGGCATTGTTGAAAGGTTCTTCGATATCTAAGAAAGTGGCTATTGCGATTTCTTTGTCATCTATTGACTTTGAAAGCAGCCTGTTTAGATCGTCCAGCGCTAGGTCAGTTGACTTTCCTGGCTGGTATGCATATTGGTTGGGATGGAGCGGATTTTTAAACAGGTTAGTTTCAATTATAAATAATACTGATTTAATTTTGTGCAGTAGAATTAAGAATTTTTAAAATTTGGGTATTAACATAGATTTGAGTCACATAATTATGTTTAGTCGTCAGATCAAAAGGTAAACAAACTTTTATTAAAAAATAAAAACGAGGTTTAATCAACAATATTTTTTTGTGAAATGTAAGAATCACTTTTCCGATTTGTATACAACTTTATCAAACACACTGTATCTATGTACAAGTTTTACAGCAAGATCATAATTGGATAGTTTATTGGAAACTCTGTTATAAACTTTAGTAACGCAAACTTTTCAACTTTTTCAATAACCTATGAGAAAACCTCGAAGTGTATCTATTGACTAAAGAAATAAAACAAGCGTCTCAATCTAATTTGCCTCTATGTAAAAGACGGGAAGATGGAATTTTCATGCTGTTATGATATATTAAATATTTGAATCGATCATTGGAAATTTGATGAGTCTAGTTTAAAGAAGCTTCAATTATGCTTGCGCTTCCGCACTTTAGTCTGAAGTTGAGCATTGAAGTAACTTTTCTTAGATTTTATCAACGTTTACACATCATTTATATACAAAAATAAAGTAATATAATACTCTAAGGTGTAATTTATACAGGGTGCGAGCGAAATGATGATTGTTCTTTTCCAATTAGGTTTTAAATCGTACAATCACTTCCCAAGTAACTTCAGAAGCTTTAATAATTTTCAATTTAAAAAAGCAATTAAAAAGTCCTAGTGAATTAATGCAAAACTTCTTTGCTATTGTTTGTGTGTCTATTTTAATTATTTTTGAAATTGTAAATTTTAAACTGTGTAAACCGGACTTGGTTTGATTACGACCTTATAGTAAAAAGTTTGTTGGTAAAAGCAAGGTCTCAAAAAGTAATTAATCAAGTTTTTTTGTCTAGTATTTTTTTTAATCCAGTAATGTTAGAAAACTCAAATCGAACAATTTATTATTAAATATTTTCTCTATATCATTTATATAACTTTTGTTATATATAGTTCATTTTAATATTTCTGATTATATTTGCTCAAACTGATGAAAAACTATTTGCATTTGTTATGGACATATTTGTTTCTATCGTTCAAACATAAGCTTTTTAGATTAAATTAATGTATATATAAAACTTTTAAAAAACATTGCAAAACAAAATATTGTTTAATTTCACCTATAGTACCGTTTCACATGCGACGTATGGTTGAACGTTGACGTTCCTATTGAACTCAAATAGCGTATGATTAGTTGCAATAATGTATTTGCAAAGCTCAGCAGAACGCGGTGTTGCCGCTATCAGAGCGAATACAAAAAATGTTTGAACACATCCATTATACCTATCAAGACTAATAGAAGGTGTATTTGTCATTCTGTTCTCAAATCTTCGTGAATATTCAAGAATTTTCTATGTATTTTCGAATGTCTACACAGTAAATTGCAAAACCATTTAAAATTTTCAGACATCATTTCTTCTGCCTCTATTTTAATTCGTTTTTATTTTCACCTGCAGTATCCCAAAACATCGCTATTTAAAAAAAAAAACTAGAATACATTTCTAAAATATTACTATTTAATATTTCTAAAAGATTTCAAATTTTCATTTCAGAAATATTACTGTGCAATATTATATTTACAGGACGTTTCAAGCACATTTTAGAAATGTTTCTGATATGTTTCGTATTATTTATACATTACAAATATTTCAATGTAACTAACATGTTTGTGCTGTATGGGTTAGTGCTTGTAACATTTTAAAATTCCATTTAAAAATATTATTTTATTTGTGTGACATCCTGTATAAAATAGTATTCGATTAATTTAAATTCAATTATCGCCGCACGCAATATTCCTAAGAAAGGAAAATTTATTGAAGTGGGAGTACAGTAAAGCAGCGATATCGACATCAGGTCTTAAAATTTCATTTTGTGATATTATCTATTAGTGTCTGGCTGTACAAGCGGTGAGTAAAAAAAATATAATGTTATAAAAAATATCTCAATAGAAATTATATTTCTACCTGTTGTTAGTTATAAGTTTATTTTTTTGAAAGTCAAGTTAAATTTATTAAATATATTTTTATAATTCATTTTGGTTGCTGGAATTACACATTGTTCATAGTAATTGGTTTTTATTGTTATCTTGATTTAATTTTAAAAAGTAGTTTAAAATTTTATTTATATCTCATACAAGAGCCACGTGAAAAACAGAATTTATTTTTTATTTAGAAAGCGAATAGAAGCAGCTTAAACTAGAATTAGCATTATATTTAAACTTCAGTCTATATCTTCCATCTTTGACATTGGAGATAACTAAAGCAGCTTCCTAAAAGTAGAAATATAGGAGAAAGAACGAGATTTGGTGTTCGTGCTCGAGTAGCAGAATTACAGAAGCAGTAGCGGCTTGTAGTAATTTAAAATGGGTGTTCACTTTGTCCAATAATTATATCTTTTGTAAGTTCGGTATCAAAACTTTGTACAAGAATCAATATCGCTGTTTTTTTTTAATTGAGTTTGTATTAAGTGTAGTTATTATTATCAACATCATACTGTGTTCAAGCGCTACAACTATTAATAAATGAATATTTTAGTTAGTGTAATTTTTGTTTTGTTTTTAATACGTTGAAAACTATCTATAAACATTATTAGTTAGTAAACTGACTTTTCTTCATATTTTGAGATTATTTTTAAATATATATATATCAGATTATGTAGAAAGCTTGACATTGATTTTTGTGTAAAAAATTTGATATGAAACTTTACCTATAATTTTTTAGTTTTTATTGTAAGTTTAATCATTTTCACAATTTGTCACAGATGTCAAATAAAAAATATATTTTTTATGTACCTTTTATTGGCAAATAAAATAAGAACTAAAATGTTTTAAATGTTTATTTTATAAGATCAGTTCCATCACAATACATAACATTACACACACAAACTAGAATAAAGATATATAATGCCTGGCATTCTAAATGATACTCTTCGCAGTTTAACAGACCCCCTCAACCCTCATTTTCAACCAGATTGTGTTCACAATCAATAGGCCTCATCTCCTTATAGAGCTTAATTTTTACTACAAATTTCAAGTTGATATCGCTTTTTATTTATTTTTTTTTTTTAATTTCAACCCCCCTTAAATTCCCCATATTTATTCAGATTTTTTTTTATAATTAAAGGGCTTCTTCTTCTTTTAGAGATTGATGTTTGCTAAAAATTTCAAGTTTATATCATTATTCGTTAGGATTTTTTTATATTTTTAACCCCCCTTAACTTCTCAATATATTTATATTGTTTTCAGTATCAATAGGCTTTATCTTCTTATAAAGCTTCATTTTTACTAAAAATTTCGTTTTTAATTTAGGATTTTTTTTTTAATTTCAACCCATCTTAACCCCCTATTTTTAATCAGATTTGTTAAAAATCAATAGGCTTTGTCCCCTTGTAGAGCTTGATTTTTGCTTAAAATTTTCATTTTTATTTCTCGTTTTTGACTTATCGTGCAGACAAAAAACGTGACATCGGACAGACAGACAAAGTAAACCTATAATACCCTTTACAGAATACTGTATGAAGAGTAGAAAAAAAAAATAAACAATTTGAAAAGGTCAACAATAATATTCAACTTTAAGTTTGAAATAGCAGCACATACTTGAAAATTTACAGAAATCTTTAAACTAAACTAGTGAGATACACATCGTAAAATGTTATCACACTTAATTCTCCATATGACCCTTTTTAAGTGTATTTCACAGCACATTCCAAAGTATTCTTGCTCTCGCTTTGTCCTACCTTCATGGCATACTTTTGCATATCCACTAAAAAATAGTGTTTTAATAAATAAAAGAATAATAGTATTTTGTCTAAATAGGTAACACGGCTTCATCTATATTTTCAAATTATTGTTTGATACTTTTTGCTTTTTTCGAGACATACTTTATTACCAACTGTAAACCAATTTACCAGGTTTGTATGTAATACAAAATCTAGACTATAGGGTAACACGATTGATAATTACAGGCAAAAATAACTTATAAAATATTTAAATGTACATACCATTTCTTAGTTTCTCATTATGAGTAGATATATTAAATTCAACTGGTTGATCCATTGTTCCGATTCAGACTTTTAAAGTGAAAAACCATTTGTGTCTTTATCTTTATCAAACAGTTATTGTACATTTTTATTTTCATAATGATGTCAAGTAGTTACCTTATCAGAATGAACAAGTTTTTCCTTTTAGCAGGTTTTGTGGGAAACAAAAATTTACAAATTTTTTGCTTACTTCTTACTTCATAGTATTTACAGTTGGATACAAAATAGACCATTTTGAAGTAGTCTTAAAATCGTCTTAGACAGTGAAACAAAATATAAAACAAATTAGATTCGTAAAACTTTATTATAGTTAAATTAAACAACAACTTTAAAAATACTTGTATTTACCTCGCCTTAAAGAAGTTTTTCGGGAACAATCGTTAAATTGACACACATACTTTCAATTTATTAATGTCACAGTTCTTAATTAAACACATTTTTTTAAATGAGAAATAAAATAATCTTAGTTTTATTCACGATGAAAGACAATTATTGTCATTCACCGGGGTTTTATTTAAAGAATTTCATAGTAGAGGCCCAGTATGTATAGAGGAATGACGAAAGACGGAATGACAGAAGACGGAATGTCAGTTTGTTTGATTTGGTACAGTGTTGCCAGAATATGTTTTTGTTATGTACCAGATTTGTCTAAAAAATGTACCAGATTCCTTAAATGTACCAGATTTCTCGATTTCTATTTGCAGTGACATCTAAACTAGATTATTTAGTTGGAGATGTAAACATGTTTTATTACGAAATATTGATTATTTATATCTAAAATATCTTTTTTTTAAATCAAACTTAAGTGTATCGATGATGAAAATATTTTATTATTTTTAGTAAACCAACCCTGTGTAAATTTAGTCTTAATATATCGATCGTTCCATTTCTCAAATAACAAAATGTCATGGAACACTTTATATCTCTAATAGCTTTAAAATGTTCAGGCATTTCTAACTTTCCTTTCCTCTATACTACAATTTCATACAATACTTTATATAAGTTTCTGAAGAGCAGTTTGGGAAGCAAGAGAGTGCAAACCATCCTATGCCATATATTTTTATAATTGAGCGGAAACTTTTGTAATTTATTTAAGATCATTTTCATACTTTTTAATGTTTGTACTACCTAGAATAATTTATTGAAGTGGAATTGTAATCAGCTTCGTTAAAAACTTAATGCGTTTCAAGTCGATGTGTAAATAAATTTTCTTAATTGAGTTTACTTTAGAAACTACAAACTCGGTCGGGGAATAATATTACATCGGCGTAAATTAGTAACTAAGTATCCTGTAAAATTTTAACTATTACAGGAAATTGGCTATTTAATATTTCTTTTATCGAGTCATTAAAATCTTAGATTATCTGCATGATATTGTATTCCAGTAAAATGAAGGTTTTTTTTTGTTTAAAGAAGTCATTCTAATTGTGTAATTCAGGTAGTTTTGTGTTTGCTGTGTACCAGTGGTCAATCAATTTTTAGCCAGTTTTGCTTTATGCTTAAATATTTTCTAAAAGCATACGTATTTGATCTGCAGAATAGTGTGTCGAGCCTAGGGCTTGATTTACATGCCTTTTGGTTGTTCAGAGACAATCTGCTTTAGATTTTAGATCAAACCATGAGTTTTTTAATTAATTTGCGTGATTCGTTGTTAAATTGATGGGTTCCAAGATATTTTTTTTTTAATTATACACCAGGATCACGAAAATATTGTTTATTGAAAAAAGGATTAACTGACAACTTTTTATATTTCAAAAGTACAATTTTTGTTTTTAATCAATGTCATTTTTTTTAACAAAAGTTCAAATACTGGGTGATATATATTTATATTGCTATCACAATATTCCAAATAAATTAAAGGGCGGAAAAAGTATTTACATGCTGACACAACAGAAGACAATATCAATTTATTGCATATCTTGTCCATTTCAATCTTATCTTCGCAAAAAACTTAAAACAGTCACTCGTTTTAATTAGTAGCTCCATAAATTGGTCTCTGGAAACAAGCTCCGATAAAATTACCTACGAAAGTTTTATTTTTTTTAGATGGATCCCAAAGTCTTCACATGCACGGACTTATCCCAGACGCTCGTAGTGCCCACTTTGACATTTGGAGAGATTACGATGACAAGAGAATATCCGATGTGGCCTACTTTCTGCGATTAAATCATTCACGTCTGATAATATCCAGCTTAACATGGAGACCAGATCTAATCAGTGACGTTACGGTAAGCCTTAATAAAATGGATGCTTAGATATAAAACACAAAATTTTAGGGTCAGGTATAAAATGTGAATAGGTACATTGTCATAAACCGAAACCATTAGGTACAGTTATTCCATTCCTTTGGAAACGTCTAATTTATGCAATTAAAAACACTGGAGTCACTAATGACAAAGAATAATTAAAACAGTATCAAATCGATCGCACTTGAGTTTGCTTTAACTAAATATTACAATTAATTTAACAAGGAGTAAACCATTTTCAATCTCACTAAATATAATTTAATTATAATTCTTAGATTAATTTTAAAAAAATAAATAAATAATGTGAATGACATTCATTAAAATCTGAAAAAAAATTTAGAGAATAACATCAGAAATAACTTTCTCTATAATCTATAATCATAAATAACAGAAAATACTTGCGGCCATATTTTAATGGGCCACCCGGTATATCTCTAATAATAATTATTTATAAAAATTGTATTTTGATTAAAAAATAGATCGTAAAATAATAATTTTACTTTAGTTTTCTGTATAATTTTGTTTGTTTTTGTATTGTAGTCCTGATGTTGGTCATGTTAGACCGAAACTGGTCACGACAATTTGATTAATACAGTATAATATTGTGTGATAGATTTTGAGGGTATTTCTTTCCATAAGCGGTGTGCGGGGTCTGGTACTTTTTACCATTTATTTTTAACAATTTTGTTCAGTAACTCGTATGACTTTGAACAAAATTCTTATTCTAATTCCCCTAATAGCCTATTAAAATTTCAAGAAATTTTGTCGGTGTGTAAAACCCATTAAAGGTATAAGATTTATCTAAAACCAATTAAATTATAAATGTTAAAATATAAGTTATTGAAGCAAAAGTTTTGAGTGATGAGTCCTCATGCGAAAGGTCCCGGGTTCAATCTGGCTTAAATTATATTATGAATTAGTTAAAGACAAAAATTAAAATCTGTGTTATTTTAAAATAATTTTGTAGTTATTTTTTAATGGGTCGTAAAAAATATATACTAGACAACTCGGACTAAGCTTTTGTCCTCGTGCGATCTGGTCATCATATTAACTTATAAGGTTTGTCATGAAGATGAAAAATACGATATAAGTATTTCAACTTTACAGGATTGTATGTTAATCTATTTGTATGCACTGTAATAATGCAACCCTTCACAATCTTGTCCAATCATCCACTACATCGTGGTAGTATTGCAAATCCATGGTCTAAAAGTTTACCCTTTGTTTTAGACTGGTTTGCGGGGTAACATTAAGAACATGTACGAAGATACTCTTGAAGCAATCAACAACACAAAACAATACATTAAAGCTGAAACTGTAGATGCGATAACTGGAATATGGGTGGATGCCAAACCATTTTTGACAGATTTCTTACGCGATCTCAGGAATATTTCTCATATAAGAGAAGATATTGAGGATTTCACAGTGTTCTTGAACAAGTCTTACCAAGCTAATGACTTTTATATTAAAGATACAACTAATCTACTCATTACTTTGTTTGATGATCTTGCGATCAAGTCTCATCTGCAGACTCTACCCAAAATTGTGCAAGATATTTGGGCAGCGATGGGAGATTCTGGGGAAAAAATTAAAAAAAGTATTGCATGGGTTATCGAAGAGGTAAGAAATCAATTTGATAATATGATTTTATTATGAAATTAATTATTTTATTTTCAGGCTAAGACTAACTACAAAAAGGCAACAGAATTTATACACGGACTTTTAAATGGCGATCCCATAGAGCATTTAACTATGGGCCTTGATAAACTTGTAGAAAAATATGATGAATTTATTAAAAATCTTCACGTAGCAGTTATACAATACATGGAATCTTTGTGGGCACAGATGTCTGCTCTTGTGGTTGAACATTGGCATAAAACTTTAGCCAGTATAGAGCCAACATTTTTAAAATTATTGCATTACATAGAATCGATAGCTTGGAATACAGGAAAGGAATTTTTAGGTATGTATTTAAAAATAAAAAAGGACAAAATTATTAAAAATCTTCATATAGAGGTGTGATTAAAAATAACGAAGTATATTTATTTATTAATCAAGATCAATTTTATCCCCTTTAAAGTAATCCAGTGCATTTTTCAATCTTGGAAGCAGTTCTGGAACTTACTTTTCAGTATAGCATTTGGCTCCATTAGTGATTCTGTTTTTCCCACCAATGGTGTCAAAAAATCGATATCTTCAGTCTCAGAAAAAGAAAAAGGTCACAGTGGATCATGTCGGGCAAATACCGTGAGTAAGACAAAACAACAGTTTTGTTTTTGCCAAAAAATAACAAATAACCAGTGAGGTGTGAGCGGGGACATTATAGTGCAATTTCTACGAGTGGTTTTACCACAATTTTGGACGTTTTCGACAGATTTCTTTATGCAAACAGCGCATAACTTCCTGGTAGTATTCCTTATTAATGGTATTAACATATGATGTAGACGCCATTGAAATCAAAGAGGAGAAGAACCTTTACATTTGATCGAATTTTTTTCGGTCTTGGTTTTTCGCTCTGCTTACATTTGGAACAAATTTTGAAGCCAAACGATTTGTGACCAGAACATCCGAAAAAATTGGTTGGCATGAGCCAATACTACGAAAAACTAACTAACTAACTCCCCATTATTTATTTAACTTTCTCTAATCTGTCTGGAATTATAGGACTCGATATCTTAAACAATTCTTGTCTTCAAAGTCTGGTAATTTATTTGTAACTTTATATCCCATTATCGCTAATCTCCTTAATAGACGTTTAGTACAGAAAGTCAGGTGGTCAGGCAAGTACATTTTATTTATAAGTACTTTAAATTCTAGGAAATTTTTTATTATAAAAATAGTTTTACATTCTAAAGTGTTAACAATTGAAATAGAGAGCCCTCAATTATAATATTATTAAAAAAAACATATTCTTTACTATTTCATGAGAATATATATTTTAATCCGGACCTGCGAATCTTTTAACCAACAGAAAATTTTATCGCTTATCTACAAATCAAACAATGGTGATAATGAGGGTCGTTGGCTAATATGATTTATGAGAGTCACTAGATCTCTGGTTTTATTATACCTATTCTACATTTATTTAAATTTATTGTAGTTTAAAGAAGTAAACATTTAAAATTCAAATTAGAATACATATTAATAGTAGATCTTTGTTTTCAATACGAGACTAGTTACCATTCACAAAACCAGAACAAACTCTTGACTATTTTCATTGGATAGAATATTTGTTATAGGCTGCTGGCAAGATCAAGCCTTCGGTCCTGCCGTGCCTGCGTTAAAGTAAACGTACATGCAGAAAAATAAGCGACACATATTCAATATTCGTTTCCCTCCCCTGCACCAGCTAAAGCCATTTACTATTCACTCAATCACAAGCAAAGCAGGACCGAAGGTATGCATTTATTTATTTATTTTCAGATTTTTTGTACATTAGGAAAAACGAAATAATTGAGTCCCCTTACTTTTTGCGTTTCACGAAGTTCTCCCAAGATCTTGACAAGTTTTACAAAGATATAACAGGAAATAACACAATAGCCAGCCTTTACAAATATTCTCAAATAGCTTGGAATTTCCTAAAAGAGAAATACTTGACAGTAATCCCCTTTGGAAAAGAAACAATCGACGTGATAAACGAAATTTGGTACGAGTTAACGCAAATCGCCGAAATACCATCTATTAGGTTTTTAATAAATGAATGGGATGAGGCTTATGATTATTTCAGATACTATTACGATTATTTCGATATGGAAACCAAAATTCACAAACTGATTCAAATAATTTATGTGAAAATTTCGGATATGTCAGTCACTGCCCTGGAAATTGAAAATAGGTGAGTTAACTGGATATTTCATATTATCATATACTACTACGCCAATTTTCTGTTTTGGAAACAAATTTAGTCAGTTGTTGACTATAACATTATAAAGCTCCACTCTAGTAAGCGTCACTGAGTAGAAACCAGTTGAATTATCTATGAGTATTAGAATTTATGGATATTAGTTCACTCTGGTTGAATGCGAATTTAATTTGTAATGCTTTCTGGCAATTTTCGGAGAAATACGTTCTCTATTTCATACATTTTTATTTTGTACAAACTAGTTTTCAAAACATGTTATTTTTAATGTCTTTTTTATTCTGTATTATAAATAATAAGAAAGAGCATCCATTAGTGTTCTAGAAACATTATCCAGTTGTCATATTACTGATTTAGATCAATATTACATAAATATGCAAGCTCTGTTTATTTGTTTTGTTTTAACATGATAAATATTATTTATAAGTATCTATTATTTTTTCAGGCAAAGAGTAGCAAAAACCAAGTTCATTTTTGAACCAAATGATGGTCTTATGCTACTTGAACAAAAATTACCCATGTCTTGGCACGCTTTCAATGAAACCCCTAAATTTAAGGTAACTCAAGAAGCACACTTTTTCCCTAACATAATTTTTATAACTTTTTTTTTGTCAGGAAATTCCAGAGATAAAGAGACTATTTGAGATTCAAAGTTACTTGGAAGAAACTGAAATTTCATTCTGGAATTTGTATTATGATTATAAACCATGGTTAGACCCCAGCGACTGGGTACCACCGTTCAAAGGTACTTACCTACTATTTTGTCTAAAATATTATGGACTTAAAATTTAATAACTATTTAACGTAATATTAATAATTCATTTAAATGTTGTATTTTCTAGGACACGCTATGATAGTAGGATCAAAATTCTACGCAACATTCGATCAGAAATTCTATGAATTCCGCGGAACATGTACTTATTTATTGGCACAAGACTTTGCAGATAAAAACTTTACCATTCTTAGCTCATATGACAATACTGGAAAAACCAACGAACTTATACTGATCCTGAGAAAAGAAATCGTACGAATCAACATCTTTAATGATGTAAGTAATGACGAATTTAATTAATCTATTAATTTAATTTGGTTTTGCCAAATATTTTATTAAAATTATTTACGGATATTTCTTAGTTCGTCCAAGAAATTAACAGAAATAAACAACATTACAAAACAAAATATTTATCAACCTAAAAGAACTAAACATACAGTTTAGGTACTGTATTTTGTTTACCTCTACTCTCCCCTGAGGGCTTCCTGCAGGCTACCCCCAATCAGATATGAATTCAAGCCTGTCTCCCTCCAATCAAGCTTGTGTCACCAATCAGGATGGGGTTCGCATAACTGCACTGCAGCCTCACATGCTTATCGTATCACCATTTGTATGCCCTACTTCTCCCCATTCATTCAACTGATACATTCCATTCATTTTACAATCTAGATATGCTACGGTCACTCATTCAGATCGTGGTCGGTCACATACAGCTTGGCTGTAATAAGTAACGATGGAAACGTCATAATTTGTAGTAGTTTCGAAGTTTGAACTGTCAAACAATTACTTTAGCTTTACTGATTTTCAATAAATTAACGACTAAATTTAAGACACTTCTTTTTGAGAAGAAAGACGTGGAAAACGCTGCTAAGTCCAAACTTTTGTACGAGAAAACATAAAAATCATGAGAAAAAGAAGATTTTTTCTCTGTTCAAACACAATTTATTTTACGAATCCTTAGCAACCAATAAATGTAATTTTCATGTTATTACTTCCCCAAAACTTCAAAAATGAAGTAATTTAATCAAATATATATTGTATATGTTCCTTATTTTGAATTGAATATAATGGATAACATGGTATTTTATATTTTCAGAAAGTTCTAGTTGGAGATTCTAAAATAGAACGGCTTCCCATGCAAATTGGAGAAACATATCTTTACAAAGATTCAGGGATATTCAAAGCAGAAAGTCAGTTAGGATTTATCTTGGAGTGTAATATGAAGTTCCATACCTGCATGTTTGAAATGTCTGGTAAGAAAATTTCGCAGAAAAGCTCAGACGAGCTCACGTGTTTCGGTAGAGCTCAATCTACTTTATCCCGGTATTTACAAGAAAATAGAAAACCAGGGGATATGTAATTTTTTAGAGCTAATTTTTAAAAATATGTAAAATAAATTTAGGTGGAAAAATACAAATGATACATACCGACATTAAAAAGCAAAAATATTTGAAAGATTTTTTAATATAAAATTTTATTTATATGCGCGCCACTGGGAATACTTCGTGATATTATGTGTCTTGAGAATATTGAGAGCTTTAAATTTGTGTAACGATAAGACAGCACTCTACAGAGATGTTTAAGAAAAAAAAGGTGGGCAATTCACCCATTTAAAAACTACTAGATATACAGTATGTCCTCCTAAGTTGGAATCATATGGAAAACTTTTTTATTATTAATTTTTGGAAAAAAAGTTATTCTTCATAAAAAGTTCTGCATTATCTGAAACCTAGAATACAGTCATCAAATATCAAATTTTTTCAGTGGTATACGAGGTTTGTCAAAAAATATTAGTTTTACTCAAGAGTAAAATACCTTTATTCTTTATACGACTGATAAAATTTGACTTATGATGCTTTTATTTTGGATTTTAGACCATGCTTAACTTTTTATAAAGAATCACTTTTTTCCCAATATTAATAATAAACAAGATTTTCATATGCCGCCAATTTACGTAGACAGTTGGTGGCATAGGAAAGCTTTTTTATTACTAATTTTAGGAAAAAAAGTTGTTTTTTATAAAAAGTCGAGCATGGTCTAAAACCTAAAATACCACCATCAAATATTAAATATTATCAGTCGTATAAAGAATAAAGGTACTTTACTCTTGAGTAAAATTCATATTTTTTGACAAACCTCGTATACCACTGAAAAAATTTAATATTTGATGACTGTATTCTATGTTTTAGATAATGCAGAACTTTTTATGAGGAATAACTTTTTTCCTAAAATTATTAATAAAAAAGATTTCCATATGATTCCAACTTAGGAGGACATACTGTATATTAAAACAAAAAGCAGCCAATTTTCATAGATTTAATACAAAATGGCCCGTAAATATTTTTTGGTTTGATTCTTTTTAAAAATTTTCAAAGTAAATACTTTTTGAAGATTTATAAAAAAATTCAAGGTTTCTAAGCTCGAAGTTTTGTCATTGTTGGACTAAAAATAAAGGCTCAGAAAAAGTTATAAATTTTTAAAGTGTTCGGTTTGCTCTTAAATCTGACGATACAAGAGAGACCTTTCAATTAAAAAGGATTCCCAATTGTACATTGGGCCTAGTGAAGGCTAAGTGTTGTGGGGTCAACTTCCTCTTACCACCTTACAGATAGAGACATATAATGGTCTCTATTGATTTTTAAGTCGGTTTTGTAACATATACAGGAGATAATATCGATAAGTCTAGTCTATATTCATTCATACGATTCTCAAGATCTCTTATTTGAGTTTAGTAACCACTTTGGTGGGGGGCATCGATGTCCTTAACAATAACCCAGACAGCACACCAAATCCTTTGGATATCAACTGAACATCCCAATATCCACTGAATGTCCAGTCCATGGTGGATATCTATTTTATATCCATGAACTGTAATTTATAGACATGCAAATGTCCATAAATAATAGTAATTATATAGCAAATTATTAAAAAATTACGCCATTATGCTCGCCATTGTGGCTAATAGTACCGTTCAGATATTTAAAATTAATTTTTTTAAGGTGTATTCAATATCCCATGGACATCCACTAAATATATCAAAGTCTAGGCGCGAACGCAAACCATCGTGGATATCCACTGCATGTAATTTTTGATTTTGCTTACTAAGTATAGATGGCGATACTACTTTCGCATCTACTCATGCTCAACCCGCCGTAATTGAGTTCGATCGAAATTTGTTTCAGAATCAGACTCCATTAGAGACTGGAGTCGAGCATTTCTATTTATTGCTGAAGAGTCCTAATAAGGATAACTTTCTCCTTAGTGGGCAAAATCAAAGGCAGAGTGTTGAAAATATTTTGAGTGTTGAAAATACTTTTTATCTCTGCTATTTTCTTTCGACTTTATTCAATAATCATTGGTTACTTATGAACCTTTACTAAAGATACCTATAAAATATTTTGCTGAATATCCGAATTCTTCTATATCCATGGGATATAGACCGACATTTAGTTGGATATCCATATTGGATATATTGGATATCCACAGAATATATTCTGTGGATATCTCTGGGATTTCTTGTATTGTCTGGAAGATACTCATTAGATATTTTGCTGGATATCCATATATCTTCTATATTCTGGATATAGACGGACATTTGGATATCCATATTAGATCCACGGAATATTTCTGATATCCTGTGGATATATTGGATATCCACAAAAGATATTCTGTGGATATCTCTGGGATTTGGTGTGTTGTCTGGGAAGATTCAATTCATATTCAATCAAAGCGAAAGTCTGAACTATTTTATTAAAAACAATTTTTGAGTTTGACCAATATTTTAAGGAAAATATTATTTATATTATTCCCTGTATAAAAACATGAATGAACTTCCACTTTGGAGTCAGACGTGATTAATTCCAGAAATTTCGTTGTTTTAATAATTATTTCCAAGAGGTAATGCTTTTGAAGTTAAAATTTATTTTAAAGAACCAAAACCTGTAGAGTATCAGAGCATTTAATCATTTTTTGATACTAAAATTACGAATTTGGTGTGTATAAAAATTGTAAAATATGTAAACTTCCATTATCGGAGGCAAAAATGGTTTTTAAATATTTTAGTTATTTGCTAAAACACGCTTCCAGTTTTTTAAAACGGAAATAGGTATATCGTGTGGAATATAAGTTGCTAGATATTATCATGTTGTTCACTGGGTTGCTAGAATAATCCACACTCATTTTCTAATATTTTATTTTAGAATGCGACTGTTAAACTGTTGCATATCGTGTGAAATTTAAAAATGTTTTACAGTTTTATTCACAATGAATCTATTTTATTTAATAATACTCCGTTTATTTATTGTATTTTTTTAAGTTATATTTTAAGAGACTTCGTATAGGGTCAGAAATAGTAAACGGGTTTAAACTAATTTAATGGTGCTTTAATATAAAAAATATTAGGCAGTTGATAAAAAATAGTAAAAAGGGTATAGAAAATAGAACATAGTTTAGGGGTAAATTAAATAAAAATAATGATTTAGTTTTTTTTTTTGTTAATTATGATATTAATAATGTCATTATTATTATTATTTTTTTTTTTTAATTTAATTCCTCTTCTTCTGACTATAAACGAGTTTAGTATAGACAAATATACAATACATTCAATACTATCAAATTTATAAAAAATTGACATACGTTGATTTCGAACAAATCCGACCCAAAAGTGTGTAAATAACTCGTATATTAAACGGTGATTAATAATCTCAACAATTAACGCGTTTGCCACGCTTACTCGTTAATATGTCACGGTAATTAATCATTTTATCAATATAAATATGTGCTTTTTCAATAAATAACAAGTATACTCTCATCACCAAACAATATTTATATGCGATCCTGATCAGTATTTATTTAAAAAATATTTTATGTTTTGTGACTTATTTTTTTTATTAAAGATGGTATTTTCATCTTTTTAAATAATAACAAAATACCTACTTGATCGTATAGAAATCAGATTTATGTAAAACATGGATGTTAGTAAAGATATTTAGCTTTCATTAAATATTCAATAATAAAAGACATTAATAGTTCAAATTGGTGGTGTGCATTTCGGCTAGATATAAAACTTTACATCTTCGTTTCTTTACAGAAATATTATTTTTTTGACAGGGTGGTACTTCGGAAAAACTGCCGGATTGTGGGGAACTTATAACAACGAACCCATTGACGATTTCTTAACCTCAAACAAAACTCGAGCAACTAATTCTACCATCGAACAATTTGGAAACAGTTGGGCCTTGGATAAAAAGTGTAAGACTGGCGTTGCAGAAAAATCTAAACAACTGAATCAAAAAGATGTCCCTAAGGATGTTTGGATATTGTGCTCAGAATTGTTCTCTAATAAGGTTTGAAATTATCATCATACAAGAAATTTTATATATTTGAATTCTTTTAAAATCAGTTTGGTATACATTGATTATCTTTTTTTTAAGGTGTCACAATTGAGTACTTGCTTTTCAAGAGTGCAGAAGGATAGCTTCCTAAATATGTGTTTGAATAGTAAAACAAGAGAAGAAGCTTGTATGGCGGCAGTATCTTATATTAACCTATGTTCATATGAAAATACACCTTTAAGGATACCAGACACATGTGTTAAGTGAGTATAGTAATCTTTTTTAAATAGGTACCTATATAAAAATAACTCAAATCAAAACATGTACTGATTTGTACATGTTTTGATGGATGTCTTTGTTCTAATGCCAAAATATTATTGATCTAATACATAATAATATAATGTGTGAATAAAAGTAAAAAAACGAGTTAAAGAACGGAAACATTAGGGGAGAGTTGGGCACATTGGTACGTTTCAGATATTTTAACTGGTATCTCATAACATATCCACAAGAAAAGTTTCAAACTCGGTTCATACATTCTTTGTTCTTCCTCATAGGTAACTATTTGCACTATTTTTTCATTTTTTCATAGAACCAAGAAATATTATTTTATTAAATGGTCTGCTTTTGTACCAATGTGTCCCACCTATGGGGCACAATGGCACTTTGAAGGGGCCCATTGGAATATAATAAAACATTTTGCATAAAAAATACATAATTTAATGAGAAAATTAAAAGAAATTATCAATACTGATAAAAGAAAAAGTAAAAAATACATTTAAGGACATGAAACAGGTTTTCTGATAAAAGTAGAAAATTAAAAAGATCAAACTCTGGAAATCTTTAAATGATGTTATAGGAACTTGAGTCTACTTTAAAACGTTTAATAGAGCTGGTCCGTTCAGTAGTTTTATAATTTTTTGGACTTAAGAGCTACATCTCTACTTGGAAAAAGTCTACAGTGTCTTTGTCTGCAATACTTACTTCTTTTTTAAATTTTTACGGTATTGTTTCCCATTATCTTCAAGGATCTCTTCAACCTGTCCAACATGACACTTTTGTGATTTTATTGTGCAACATTTAATACCCAGAAAATCTTCTTGGAAAATGTTAGAATATTTTCAGGATAATTCACCGGTATAAATCTATAGTTATCGTTTTCAGTTTTAAGTTCGCCAATGTTAACTAACTCTTCTTCACATGGTACTCTCTGAACTGATTCCGTCAGAGCTCTTTTCTTTATCTTTACATTCAACTTTCTTCACAGGTTCTCGAAACAGATACGTTTTTCTTTCATTCTTTTTTCTTTTTTCATTTTTCCTTTTCGTTTCTATTTTTTCTGGAGTTTCTGTAAGTATTCTGAATTTTCTCTGAGTTTACGCTTCCTGTTTGCTGTGTTTAGCTTAAAGGTATTAGGATGGGGTCTCACAACTTCAGGTGTAATAGCAGAGTTATTTAAAATATAAGTCAAATCATCATCAGGCAATTCTTCATTTAGTAGTTGAGAAGAGGCTGATGCAACTTGCTAATTTTCATCGACGACTGGTGGAGGTTCATCGGTAACAGATGGAGGTTTACAGGTAACAAGTGGAGGTTGATCTAACAGCTGCAGAAAAAAAATCATCAGGATCTCGTTAATAGATATTCTTTAACCAGGGTTACTAAGGAGCCAATTATTAAAAGCAGTTTTTAAGTAAGCTTTGAAAGGCAAGTACACACTGGCATCAAAGAGCTACAATGTGGAGGAAATATGAAATTAAATTTTATGGACTGTAAGGGCAAGTATAAAATTCTTAAGGGGTAAATTGTAACATTCCAATGTGCCCCATTTTTTCTGTTCTAATGTACTCCATAGTATATTCTCTTAAAATATATCCAATTAAAAAATTAGAAGACACCTATTGATAAATTAGAACTAGATAATATGAATTTAAGTGCTTATTTTATTGGTATTCTTACCAAATCCGTCTGAAGTTAAGAAATATGTCTTCTTCACTCAACAAATATTTTGCTTCACCGATATACCTATGATAGCTTGGCATCCAACAGATATCTAAGAGCTGCCGGTAATATAGAAAACTGAAACTTTGCTTACCATTGTACCACCATTTTTGGCGCTATAAACTCAAACGTTCCAATGTGCTCTACTCTCCCCTACAAAGTTAATCCATATTATTTTTGCAATTATTAAAAGTAAAAATTAAACCTTTCCTCAGAGGTAAAATTTCGTATAATCTCATCCTCCAAAAAAAATTCTGAAAGGTAAGTACAGACCGACGTGTATTAGGACAAAAGTGACAACTTAATGTAATAACTGCTAAGCTTGACCGAGATTTGGAGCCTTTTTTAATCTCTTTCTTGTTTTAGGTGTAATTTACTAAATGGCTCCGAGTACAACGAAGGTGACTTCATTCGATTACAAGGAAGCCATGTTCCACAAACTGCGGATATTGTTTTTATAGTGGAAGCGAAGGAGTGTAACAAAGACCTTAGAAAAGCTAGAAACTTTGAGACCGTTGTCGAGACGATAGAACGGGAGCTGGAAGCAAATAATATTAAAAACAACCGGTAAGAAAGGCATTTTCTAATGTCTTGTTTACAACAATAATAAAAATATTTACCGCCAATTTCAAGAAATCTATATAGTATAGAAGCAGTACAATTGTATATTTTGATATTTTCTTAACTAATTGGAGGTTGATAAAATTCATAGTTAAATAAATAATAAACTATAGCAAAGTAACTTATTGATAGATTGATAAAAAAATGAGTAAATGGGAAATAATCGGGATTGTTTTAAATATAATAATGTAAATATGCTCAATTCTTTTAAAAACAAATTTATTACACTTTTTACCTCTTTTTTTTCATATTTTTTCCATATTTTTTTTCAAAAATTTTCGGAATTTTTTGGAATATGTACTCCCATGTTTTAACTCACGTTTTTGTTTTTTTAAAATGCCCCTTTTTGATATAAAAAAATTACGCTTTTTTTAATTACCCCATTTCTTTAATTACCCATTTCCTTTAATTATCCCCATTTCTTTAATTACCCCCATTTCTTTAATTATCCCATTTCTTTAATTACTCCATTTCTTTAATTACCCCATTTCTTTAATTATCTAATTTTTTAATTATCCCATTTTTTTAATTAACCCTGCAACCATGATTTAACCGTTTTTGATCGAGATTCTGAGCCTCCAATTGGAGTCTCCACGATCTATAGTCGTTACTGAGAAAACTTACCAGCATAGTCGTCTACCAGGGTAAAAAAAGCCCCGTGTTATTAGACCTCTGTTTAATAATTATTAAATAATTAACCATGTGCATGATCGCGACTCAAACAAATCCGCTAATAAATTAAACGGTTTTTATGTATAGGGTGTTATTTTAGTAACGAATTCGTTTGGAAAACGTGACGATATAAGATACTTATTCTTTAATAATTATAATTTTCAAAATTCAACAATAATTATAATTATTGTTGAATTTTGAAAATTTATTCCTTTATTTCATTATGTGAGAATTAAAATGATCTAGTTCCTTCTTTAATCAGAGCTCTTTTTGTAAATCTACACTATCGCTATGAAAATCATATTCAAAAATAACATCATTATCACACTCAAAATTATCACTGTTGTCATCGCATATCAAAATTTCAACGTTGTTTTTACACACTAAAATATTACGATCGTTAGCGCCATTGTTATCACATCACGCACATTATTTTCAATTGAAACATCACTTACCCATATCACCATCGTGTTGTTTATTCCCAATTATTCCCTAATCAATCTGCCGAATCTGTTCTACCTATAACAAAATTGTCGATTTGAAGTGAGAGTTTATTGGTTTATATAAGTGTTTTTGTATCAAAATATAAATCAATAAGAACGCGTAACGTGTGATCAACGTGGACTCCATTCTCGAACTGTAACCTGCAACAGTCCACGTTGACATAGAGCAGAGCACTTTTGGAGTATGCAATCATTTTAGGCTTATTTTAGGCTTATTTTAGGTTAATTTTATATCAACATAAAAAAATCCACTCCTTTCTTTATATAAAAAATTGGGGTTAAGAGAATCTGTTAAACTGTGAAGAGTATAAATACAATACCAAGCATTATATATCTTCATTCTAGTTAATTTTTTGTATTATTGTTTTAGATTTATCAGTTTAGCAGTTATTTCAATATTTTACGTTAAAATTAAATAAATAATATTTGAGCTAACCTACACATTTTTTTATGTATTTGAGTTTTAGAAACAATTTCCGTTTGACAAATATGTTAATGGATGCAAACATGCTTGTACACAAGATAATTATAAGTAATAGTAGTACGGAAAAGCGTGTGGGATTTGATGTTAGTTAGGAATTTAATTAGAAACTAATAATAGACTATAATAAACAGTAACTCCGGTCTCAACCATATATGCACTTCGCATTATATCTATTTATATCACCCTGCAACTAAGTAACTACATACTAAACATAATTAAACATATTAAATAAAAATTAGTAACGAACATACCTGAACTAACGGGGTGATCAAACTTCTAAAAACATTATTTGCTAAGAGCTTTTGTTTTGTCCCAATTTGGATTTTGGAGATATACCGTTATTTTTTATGAGACATAAACTCACATAGTACAAAACGTTCATTCACTTCTTTTGTTTTCAGGAATATAACCTTGAGGGTTTTAGTAAATTTTTTTCTATTTTTGAAACAAAATTACCTCATTGCAAACATTTATAGGTTTTACCATCCTTTGAACTACTTATTTTTAAACTTGCCCAGTAGGACTTGCTGAGTACTCATGTGGATCAGTAAACAGACTCAAATCATTCTTAAATATTTAAATTTAAATAAATCTTCAAGCTCGTGCCGATATTATTTTCGAGTAGGATATTACTTTTTCTTGATTTATTTTGTTAGTCCACTGTAGGTATAGAATATTAGACAAGGATCTGGACAAAGACATTGCTGTAAATTATTTGGATAAAAATTAATTTGGGATCTTTAAAAGATTTTGTTAAACCATTTGCGTTCCACTCGGCTATTCTTAGTGAGTTAGCCATTAAGATGTTCTGTTTATCACGGTTGTGAGCATGTATAAGATCATGGTATTTTGATTTATTAATTGTGCAAACATATTTTTAAATTCGTTGAGAAATTCTGTTAGTTTATTTGACAGGTCTGAATTATTGTTCGCTTGAGTTTCAAAATAAAAAATAGATTCTAGTTTAATTTTACTAAATTTTTTATTATTTTAGTTATGCTATAGTTATTTTTGGTGGAAATGGAGTTTATGATGAGCCAAGAAGCATTATTCTCAATGGAAAAACATTCACTGATTCAAAATCGATATATCAATACTTCGATAACATTCCTGTTGGTAAGTATTATTTTCTAATACACAAATTTTTATTTTGGTTCATAAAAAATACAGTTTCAGGTATTTCACCTATTGTACTATTGTAGCTTGAGTTCAAATTTTTGTTTAAAATATTTTTTTCTTAACTTAATGTTTTTTTAGTTCTTCCAAAAAGTATTTAATGTATTTACGTTAATTACAAAAATTAGGGGATTATTTTATATTATTTTTTACTTTTTGTATTCTTCTATTCTAGTCAGTATTCAGGAAATAATTTTTTTTCGGATTTTAACGTTCTTTAACGTTTAATTTAGTTTTTCAATGCTGCCTTCGTTTTATTATAATAACAATTTAAATTATTACAGTGTTGAAATTGCCTCATTATTTCCCAATTTAAATATCAGCAAAATTAATCATTTTAAGCTTCTTTAGTGTAACGCAATATCAGCAAAAGGATTATGACAGCTTACGTGATAGAGTACATATTTTTTCGTGTTCCAGGACATGGCAACAGTGATATATTCAACGGTATCATGTTTGCATATAATCTTATATTCCGACCGGGAGTTTCAAGAAATTTTGTTTTGGTACCCTGCTCAGAATGTAACAGGAACAACATGCTTGTAAGTATCTAAGTATCCTTAATTAATTCATGTAAGATTTTCATTAGCGAATAAGGCTTCGCCTTTTCTGAATACGGATTTTCTGAAATATGTATATTTAAATCTTAGTTGCTCTTCAACGCGAGGATTAACGAAACTTTTAATGAATTGCAAAAGGTTTTGGAATGTTTTACTACACTTCGAAAACATGGCGTTTTAGAACGTTAATCTGGAGCATCTTTATCAAAATCTACAAACATTTTAGAATCCGAACGGTTTACTGATATCACTTTTATCTAAACCATATTTATATTATTCACAAATTACATTTGATTTGAATTTTCCGTCCCTAAAATAATTTACATTTATTTAATTCGAATTTAGGACTTAAATATTTTTCCTTTACAAAACAAATCCATTTTCGAAACCACCGTTGACATTTTTAAACGAAGCACTTTCTTTTTTTGCATTAAAAACATCCGAATGTAAACTCTTTCTGGTGGGATCTCATGGCACATTAATAGTGTAATATATCAAGACATCGGGGTTGTATAGCTGGGACTTGAAAGCTGCAAAAGGTCTCTGAAAACTTTATAAAGAACCCACCCCTGCGAACGGTGGAGGGTAGCGCGTGTATGGTGAATGATTAAACTAGGGAATTGATTACACAGATTGTTATAAGTAGAGGGTGGTGCCCCATTTATTTAACCTTTAATAATTTGTCTTTTGGCAATCGTGAGATATGAAGTAGGGGTGCTGGGATGGCTCAGTTTACAACGTTTTAACTTTTAATTGGTTTTTTTGAAGTCTGCATTATCATAGATTTTATTGAATGCTTAAAGTATTATTTGCTTTGTGGAAAGTATTATGTAACGTTATTTTTTTACATAAACAATTGACAAATTATGTAATAAATTACAAAAAAAATACCAGATTTATGAAAGACAAAAAGAGTTTTCCAAGAGAAATATCCTCATTGGAAATCGCGGTCCAAACTATGTAGGCATATTTGGCTTTTTCTTTATATTTTACATTATTTGGATATATGTACATGCACAGACTAATTAATTTGGTATTCAGTGTTTATTAAATATTTTAAAGACATTCGAAATATATATAAATTATAATAATAGTGTTATAAAATAAATACGTGTTTAAATAAATTATTAATAAATAAACTGTTGTTTAAAATAAACAAACATCACAATATTTTAATTTATAATGTGAAGGAAACATTCTGACTTAACCCAGAAAGCGATATTTAGGGTTGATAACTAATGTGACACCGTGACACCTAATTTTCGAATCCAATATTCTACGCTTTCCTTGCCTTTTCGATCTAAACTCACAACTCAAAGTATAATGAACACGAAAATCTTATTTGAATTGTTTTCAGCACGACTATTCGACAATTCATCAGCTACTATCGGAAAGTGCCATTTCCCTGCACATTTTAATGAACAATCAGTTTACAATGCAGAAAGAACGAGAAGCCAGAATTCCTTTTGGTAAGTATTTTAATCAAACCAATTTTTACTTGCGTTATTGTTAACTAAAAACTAGGATAATTATGAATTTGTGATAAAGATGAGTTATTTCCCACGTATTTTAAATTGAATTATCATCAAGTTTTTTTCGAATAACTGATGGCAGTGAAAAATACGAATTCGTTCTACTGAGACCTGTAGTGGCACTTATCACTGACAATACAAGTTATTGGTTTTTGTTTTGACGTCCATTTTCACATGGAATTGTTAAGTAAATTACACGAATCACTTCAACTCATAACAAGCCGACTTTTATGGCGGTATAGCCTTAATAATATACAGCTATGATCATTATAGCGATCATACAAAATAATATCGTTCCATCTCTATATGAGACATTTTGCCGTTCGAGTTCAGTGTGAGTCGTGGTTGATGTAATGATGTGTTATGTTATGTTGGGAATGGGGTGTTAATACACTGCGACCTAAAAGATCTATTGTGCCCCCTTCTGTCGCCAATGCACTAAGGAAATGTCTCAATGTCTATAGAGAGAATATATGTTTATTGTCCAAGTTAACGACCCTTCCAATCCTATTTTCTCAAGGAAGTGTAGGATTTGAAGTGGCTTCAAGTTAGGTAAATCTCCCTCTTCTATTTGATATTCTCCTAGATATAGTGCCCTTGGATTCTGAAGTGCTACACATTCAGTTAGGATGTGAATGGAGGTTTCGTCCTCCTCCTCACAAAATCTGCACACACTTACCCTCTACTACTCTCATTTTATTTAGGTGTCCTTTTAGTCGGCAACGCCCGGTCAGGATCCCTGTTTCAATACGTAACTTGTTCTTGCTCAGGCAGATGCAGGCTTCCGATCTTTTCTGGTTATATTCACCAAGAAGTATCTTGGCCTGCCTTAACCACAAGAGATTGTTCCAATTATCGGTTCTTCTAGTGCCCAATTCTTTTTAATCTCTCCTAATATTATGTTACTGCTGATACCGCAGAACGGCGCAGGTCCTACAAATGGTGTTTGAGCCCCTTTCCTTGCAAGACTATCTGCAATCTCGTTACCCTGTACCGCGTTATGTCCCGGGACCCAAGTGAGAGTAACTTTATTTTTCTCGCCTAGCTCATTCAATTGTTCTAGGCATCTTTAGACCATTTTTGAGCTGATTACGTAAGAGCTCAGCGCTTTGATGGCTGCTTGACTATCGGACATGATGATAATCTCTTGTCTATGATAGTTTCTCTCGATGTTAAACTGGATAGACTTCTTGATGGCGTGCATTTCCGCCTGGAAGATGCTTGGGTATTTTCCCAAGCTTTTGGAGTGCTTGGTTTTCGACCCATATACTCCTATTCCAGTTCCTTTTATGGTTTTGGTTGCAAGCGCGATGGATTCTTGGCTTCATTTTTTCTTGCAGCCCAGCTCTGTGGTTTTGAAGTTTTTCACAAAACTGTACTTCTTTAGCATTTCATCCTAAGGACATGTCCCAGGTATCTTTAGTCCTGAAGCAACTAGACTTTTGTCTGATTACTCCGTTCCTAATCATTCTATATCGTGTCCTTTTTGCTACATTCTCCATCATCAAATGTAGAGGGGTGAGGTTTAGGATCACCTACATTGCGGCCGTAGGACAGGTTCTCATTGCACCAGTAATGCAAACACAGGCTAGTCTTTGTACTTTTGAGATATTAGCTCTCGTAGTAGCTAAACTAGTTCGGTTACTTCAGGCTATAGCCCCGTAAGTGATGATTGGTCTCACTATTGCAGTATACATCCATCGCAGTATGTTTTGGGTTACATCCCCATCGTTTACCTGCAATGTTTCTGCATACAATTAGGGCTTTTGTGGCCTTATTCACTACTTCCTTCTCATGTGTGTTCCAGAGAAGTTTGTTGTCCAGGGTTAGGCCTAGATATTTGACTTCACTTTTCCATTCTATATCTATCCCGTCTAATTTAACGGTTTTGAGATTAAGTTTTCTTTTCCTTGAAAGGGCTACTAGTGTTGTTTTTGTAGGGTTTATGATATGTTGTACTTAGTACCTATTTTCTCGATTTAAATTGTATTGGTTAAAGTATCGGAGGGGACGAAATGAAGTATGTTAGTTGAGGATATGGTATAATTAAAAATTGAACAACCTTTTTTATCATCTAATAATATATTCTCCAGAAGCTTTATTGGGCTTTACCAAAGTTTAAAATTAAACAATAGCTTAGGTTTGTATCCTCTGTTTTTGTTAACCTAGATATTTTACAACCTTTCTTAATCGAGGTCCTCTTTATCTGTGTGTCAGCCACCCCCATAGACCCCTCCTAGGTATGAAACATTGTCTGCTTAATTCCATAATCCTTGTTTTGGGTTTTTTTTTAAATGAGTAGGTATAATAGATAAACACGTTACAGTTTAATGGGATTCTGGCTAAATGAAGAACGTATCCTACGGTCAAAATATACATATTTATGTCCTTGATTATTTTATATACAAAATCCTGTATAGCACCAATAAAACATTGTTTCCAAACATGGTAAATCGAGAAAAGTTTTTTATTTACGGTGAATTAAACTCAGCCTGACACAAGATAGAAAATGTCCAATCAAGTTTGCCTCGGCGAATTTTTCTTCTTCGATTAGAAAAAGATTAATTACAAGACTGCTTCGCGTTCTATTTAGCGTTAAAAAAAGAATAATTGATTCGAATGGTAACAAGAGATCTGAAAGAATTCTTTGGGATACAATTCGAAGATTTCGCAAATAATTGACTTAAAAATAAGATACAGGCTTGCTAAAATTGTACATTGAAAGTGCCAAATATTATTAAAATGTAAGAATTTTTTTATTACCTTGGAAGTTTCGTTAAATTATGGGATTACTAATAAATCATGAATAATGTTCTGCAAAATTAATTTTCAACTATACATATACACTAGGGATTTTTCGAGTGGCTGTATCTTTGGTAAAAATGGTCGTACGTGAATGAAAATAAAACAATTTGAAGCTTGAAGTGTCTAGTTTATGGATCTTGCAATAAAAATTCAATAAAATACACACTTCAAGCTTCAAATTGTTTTTTTTTTCATTCACGTACGACTATTTTTACCAAAGATACAGCCACTCAAAAAATCGCAAAATCGAGATTTTTTTTGATCCCTTAATTTTTTCCACTAGTGTACTTGTGAGAAAAAGTAAAAAATATATATTAAGTGAAGTAAAAATTGATTTTCTTATTACTATCAGATTTAAAAGTTATTGGATTGTCTAGTTTTTAATTAAAAGCCCCCGGAATAGAAATTACATCATAAAAATTCATATCTATGAATTAACTAAGAGCTCGTCGAGAGTAACTTCATTTATACCAAATGCATTTTTTCTGTTAGGTGTAGGTAAGTAAATTAAGGATTAAAAACGTAAAACATAGCTTTATGAAACTGAATAAATGAAAGTAAGCAAACATAGAAAAGCAATTCTGTACAATTTTGCAAATCCCTGCTCTACTTCTGTTATGCTTCTTGCAACGGTCTGTATACGAGGATGGGATGTATAATTCCCAGTCTTAACCTATTGTGGGCTATGATTTTGATAATTTATTTATGTCAGTAATTTTTCTGTGAGATATTGTAAGTTTATGTCCAGTACTTTGTATTTGACAGTCCGCTACACTAATCAAATTTCAAGAGTGTTTTTTGCTATTTAAGCGCAATCCAAAAGAATGTGCGCAGATTTATATTTATGTTCATCATTACACACCGGCGACCAAACTGTAGTACCAATATTTATTGGCTTGCGTAAGCTCCGCCCACTGTGGACTTTTAATGACTAAATAAATAATATTTAAACTAATTAAATATAAAGCTGTTTGCGTGTCTTGCTTGAGCTACAAATGCTGCTACTGTTGCCAGAAAGTTACTAATTTTTAGTTCATTAGCTACACAAAATTTTGTTGCAATTCCGGTTAACTTACTTTTCTCAAATGGTCCTCTGCATTTCAATCCTTTTTGTGTGTCAGTGCCTATCCTAGAATTTAAATTTCCCTTCATTATTATGTTTCGTTTCTCCCTTAATTTATCTATTTTGTTTTGTATTTAAAATGTAAATATAAATTCTTACGATAGGCAAAAGTATGTTTGTGGGACTTTTTACCGTTTTTACAGTTTATTGTTATGTGCAAATTTAAATTTAACTGTGGACTATTAAAAGTTACCACCATGTATAATTAAGTTTTTTTGCGTAAAACAAATCTGTCAGAAAGAACGTTTTGCAGTAATAGGGTAGAAAACATCTAGGTATAAATAAAAGCGTTAAATTTGATTGCACTAAAACACGACTTTTGCTCATAAGGACTGGCAAATTAGACTTTTTATTGTGACATAATTTATGTTGAACAATTTTCTTTATGATTGTCGGGATCCAGAACGAATGGCTTTTTGCCGAGGGTCAGTGGACATGACATAATAAGTTATAAGACAGATTAATTTCTTTGGAAACGGAGGACACATAGAAATCGCTCCGGATTCCGGTTGATAGCTAAAACAATAAGAAAATGCAAATCACGTAGCTGGCCGAGCTTGAAACGATATCGTTTTTTATTTGGCTTTTTATTTGTCTGCGTTTCGGATATACGACTTTAAGATATTCTTCTTACAAACGAAAAAATCAGAATTTTACTAACAATATCATTATATTCAAAAACAAAAGGTGGACGTAGATAATATATTATCTACTTAAAGCTTTAGTAATCATCTCTTTTATAATTACTGTACTATCGGAGGTTCCCTGTACATGCCACCGTGACTAACAAGTGACGTGACAGCTCAACGAAGTAGGAAATTCCCCATAGGGTATTAGAGGTTACAAATTAGGTACATATCACTCATGAAGTCAACGAGACAAGTGTAAGTCTAACTAAATTTATTATTTTAAATAGGTACACAGTTTCCTCTAATACGCACACTCCTACTGCGACCCCCTATCAGTCACCACCAACTGTTTTAGGTTGAATGAATGCTATTGAATTAAC